CTGCAAACCACCCAGAAGGAAAGCAGCATTCCAATCCTGCCAGCACGAGGGGTCAGGTTCGTGCAGCTCTGTGTCAGCAATGGCCCACCATTCTCTTGAAACATCAACATCTACCCAAGCGCTTGGTTCCCAATGGGCTCTGAATGAATGTCGGTCCCATCACAAGCACAATCATGGGCTATGTTAAAAATGACAGTAGCCAACACAATAATGGCTGTTGGTGTGAATGAGTCAAAATTATACCTTTTTTTGTGTGTGATAGTGGCAAAAAATAAATTTTTTGGTGTGCCACAGAGTTTTAGTAATTAGTTTATGTGTGCTGTGAGATGAAAAAGCTTGAAATCGCCTGCCGTGAGTGTTCAATAAGTGTTTGTTTCTCGACTGTAACACCGTTAACATTCTGGGCCAGATGATTTTCTGTTGTGGGGGCTGTCCTGTGCACTGTAGGATGTCTAGCATCCTCCATGGCCTGTGGCCAATAGCAGTCCTCCCAGTTGTGGCAACCAAAAATGTCTCCAGACATGGCTAGATGTCCCCCTGAGGAGAACTACTATAAATATACTACTTACCAGCTATTCCATTACCCTTGCAAATCGCTGCCCCTCCTGAGATCCAGCTGGCCTTTGAAAGCTCTGTGCCCATCAGACCCGCTTCTGTATGTCTTTTGGGGCTTGTCTGAGTTGATTCGCTAGCTGGATGTTAGAGTTAGTTCTTCCATGCTGGGTGAGTGCCTCACCTTGGTCCCCTCAGAGGCCTGGGACCTGCTCCTAGGCAAGCCGGCTGCCCCCTGGGAGCCAGCCTGCAGGATCCTCTCGTGACTCCCCAGCGGAGCGAAGGCAGTTGCTTTGCGTGAGTCTCCTTTGGAAAGCCTGACCTCCCTCCGGACCCCCACCAAAGCTCCAGCGTTTAATCCCACGTGAACAACATACCTTTTTGTCCCATTTTTTTCTTAGCTGTGAGGGTTCTTCTATCAGCCCTCTCCTCAGTCTGTTTTATTTGGCTCCCTGGCCATTCGATGATTTTGTCTAATTTAAACGGCTTCGGTTTTATAGAATAATCATACACTAAATGTGCAGTAATAACAGGGTTGCTTTTTTCACAACGTCAGTTGTAGCCGCTGGAAAACAAGTTTATGAACCTCCTTCATGGCTTCCCAGAGGACTCTTTAGAGGCAGGGTGGCGCCATGGGTAAAGGTCCTAAACGCTGACCACCTGGGCCTGCATTCTCTCCCCACTGCCTGGGGCAGGCAGTGTCCTCTCTTCCTGCTTCTGTTTCTCCTCGGTTTCCTCTCAGTGGGTAGGCTGTTGTGAGCAGCAACCCGATTAAGGCAGCACAAAGCACAAGCTTGGCTTCTAAGAAGCTTAGCCACTAAGTATTAAACATTGCGAGGTTGCCAGTTTGATTAAGCTTGAAGGAGAGAGAAAATTTGCTGAAGGAGAGGCATGTTCAGTGCAGCAAACAAGTCCACAGAGGTTTGGGAGTCCGACAGATTTGCATTTGAATCCTCACTCTACTGCCTGTTAGCTGGATCCTGGCCTGGATAGGTGATTTTGTCCTTCTACATTTTTCCAGAATAAGATGGGTGTTCTGACTAACGGACCATGTTTTTGGATCTCCAGGGGTTAGCATCAGTTCAGAGCTAGTGCCCAGTGACTCTCGGAAGGATTATGAATTTCCCATTTCCCAGTGGATAGTCACCCGTGTGAATGGATGCGGGTCTCTCTTGAGGGAGGTCTGGAGAAAGATTGATGGGATACATTGTGGCCCTGTATAGGGTCACAGTAATCTTATATATAGTCTAACATTCCCCTGTCTAACATCCTTTTTTTAAAAATATATATTTTTTTTATTTTTTTACAGAGAAGGACAGAAAGCTAGAAACAACAATGAGAGAGGAACATCGATCAGCTGCCTCCTGCACACCCCCTACCGGGGATGTGCCCGCAACCAATGTACATGCCCTTGTCCGGAATCGAACCTGGGACCTTTCAGTCCTGAGACCGATGCTCTATCCACTGAGCCAAACCGGTTTCGACTCTCCTATCTAACATCCTTTGAATGTTCTTCCATATGTGCTCCTCAGACTCCTGCTGGTAAAAATAGTTGAGATTCTGCAAACTTCCTATGTAATAAAAGCCTAATATGCAAATTGTTCCCTCCACCAGGAGTTTGATCAGGAGTTTGACCAGGGGGAAGGGAGGGTTACTCCTCCCCTCCCCCCCACAGCAGTGGCGGGCGTGGCAGGAGGGGATGGGGGGGCCAGGGGCTCCCCGGCTGACAGCCCGTGGCCGCTAGGGAGCCTACCTGTGCACGAATTTTGTGCACTGGGCCTCTGGTTTTAGTATAAAGGCAGTCTCCTTTCAGAGTAGGCTCTGAACTTCTTTCTAAGTTCTCTTGGGCTCTAACTACTGTTTTGAGGCCATGAGTGAGGGGTGATGGGAGTGGGTAGGGAGGAGACTTGGCATTCCCGTGCGAAACAACTTGAAAGGGTTCATGCAGGCAGGGTTTGGGAGGCTGGGATTCCAGAGAGAGGTGTAGGTCCCCGCTTTCAGTGGGGATGGATGTTCAGCTCAATGTGGAGTTCGACATTCTTACCCTCATTGTGTTAGCCCACTCACCTGCATCTGTGATTCAGGATCATTTTCCTTCCCAGCCAATGCCCATGTGTCAGCATGAGAGACTTTGCAGGGTTGCATGTTTAATTGGCTCTGCAACACTTAACCATCAAACTCTGGGCTTGATCCTATTCCTATCAGCACTCTAAGACAAATAAAATAATAAAATAAAATAAAAGAAAAGAAAAGAAAAGAAAAGAAAAGAAAAGAAAAAAATAAAATAATAAAATAAAATAAAATAAAATAAAATAAAATAAAAAAATAAAATAAAATAAAATAATAAAATAAATAAATAAATAAATAAATAAAATAAAATAATAAAATAAAATAAAATAAATAAATAAAATAAAATAAAATAATAAAATAAAATAATAAAATAAAATAAAATAAAATAAAATAAAATAAAATAAAAAAATAAAATAAAATAAATAAAATAAAATAAAATAAAATAATAAAAAAAAATAAAATTAAAAATAAAATAAAATAAAATAAAATAATAAAATAATAAAATAAAATTAAAAATAAAATAAATAAAATAAAATAAAATAAAATAAATAAAGTAAAGTAAAATAAAATAATCTAAAAGTCGTAGATTTCCCACCCACCTGTTTGGGAATTCATGACTTTAAATTTGCCGTCTTTGTGCATATTCTCAAAGACAACCGGAAGCAGCCCAGCCCAGGTCCCAGGCTTTGAAATAGCATTTCCATCATCCATGTGGCCTTCCAGCTCCTTGCCCACTGCCTATATTCCGTCCTGTGGCACCGTGGGAGGCAGTTTGATGCCATCTCTGTGTGCCCAGTGACTAGTTCCTCACCTCCTCCTTCCACAGGAAGGTGATCAGGGCATTCATCAAACATGCATCCCATTTTTGAGGATCTGTTTCTTGGGGTCATTCTTGGTCTCAATTACTGCATCAGATACATGACACTCAAAAGTAACAGAAGGAGTTACAGAGTGCTCTAAATTAGGCAAATGCTGCTTTTATGGGGTTATAGGGTGACCTAACTCAGACAGATGTGCGCTCGAGGCTTAGGAGGGGGCCAGTGACATTTTTGTGTTTTCTAACAACAAATTTTACTCCGTATAAATCCTCCTAACTGCATTTCCAGCAGCAAATCCAACAAAATAGGTTTTGTGTGTGTGTGTGTGTGTTTAATTTTTTGGCTGTTTTTGTTTTTTGTTGTTGTTAATCCTCACCCCATGATATTTTTGCATTGATTTTTAGAGAGAGTGGAGGAGAGGGGAGAGACAGAGAGAAACATCGATCGGTTGCCTCCTGCATGGGCCCTGATTGGGTGAGCCTGCAGCCGAGGTGCATGCCCTTGACCGGAATCAAACCCGGGACCCTTCAGTCGTGGGCTGACGCGCTGTCCACTGAGCCTCAAACCGGCTAGGGCCAAAGTAGCTTTTGAGTGATCTTAAAGGAGGCCCTCTTCTAATCAGTTCAAATTCACTATACCTTGAATATTCTATGCCTGCAGATAGATACTTGAAATCATTACTTGAATGTAATTTATTGACAATGATCAGATCTGTCAGAGTGACTTCCTGAAATTAATCACGGAGAGAGACTGGCAGACTAACCCTTTAAAAAGTATTATTTCGTGTCAGTGGTGAGTCCGGGCTGCTGTGTGTAGCAAAGGTGATATCAGTGTGATATCTTGAGCCTTTTGTCCACTGGTGGAATGATAATATTAATATAATTGTGTGTTTTTTCTGAATTAAGTTCTATTGTAACATCTCTGATCAGGGGTCCAGTGCATCAGAATGATCCACACTTGTTGTCAGGTCTCTGGAGCCAAACAGCCGGGGTTCAAATACTGGACCCAAGAGTTATTTAACCTCTTTGTGTCTCAGTTGCCTCGTTTGTAAAATGGGCATAAATGGTTACCTACTAAATAGGATCCCACTCGGAAGCAAGCTCCACCTGTTTGACCTGATGCAAAAACTCTGAAAACCATCCCTGGAAAAACCCTGCTTTGAATCCATCCAACCAGGGATCTTTTGGGTGCGAGGTAGTCCTTAGTCCACGTGAACTGAGGTATAGGAGCTCACGGAATTTCTCAGCCGCAAGGAAGGTGGATGGGATGCACATGTCTGATTGTGGTTTTAACTCTTGAAATGGACGTACACAGAAATTAAATCTCTTAACCTGGACTGAGACTTACGATCAAATTAGTAAATGAATGGCACTTTAAAAATTGTCTGGCTAATCGGTTTGTTTGTTTTTCTTTTGGTCAAGGTTGCATGATGGAATGTGAACATCACCTCAAGGGGTTCCATGTTTTGGAGTAGCTGATTGCGTTTGTCCTCTGCTGACCGTTGCTTCGGACTCATTTTCCTGGGTCCTTTTGAGGCCCAAACCCCAGAGGCCTTATACCATGGACTGCAAGGAGAGCTGCCCCAGTGTCAGCATCCCCAGCTCTGATGAGCACAGAGAGAAGAAGAAGAGGTTCACTGTAAGTAGACGGGACACAGCCTATGGGGAAAACGGGATACAAAGAGTGTTTCCACTGCCGCTCTTCTTCTTTCTTAACTTAGAACGTCCTCTCCCCATGCCCACAAATCCAGATTTTACGTCAAATCTTCCCAACCTTGTATTCCAGGAGGGGGGTGTGCATTGATGTCTTCATTTCTCTCTCCCTCTCTATGCCTCTCTGAAATCAATAAAAATAGTTTAAAAAAAGAAGAAGAAACACTTTCCTAATTAGTGTCATGAAACATATAATACTGTATTTCGTTCTGTTAGTATTTACAGAGATTTATTATTCTCCTCCTCATGGGGGGAAAAAAATGTCATTTATCCTCTCTACAACTGATCTGGTCTTCCTCATAAACCCCTCATAAACCCACTGAGTGATCTGGAGGGATTCATTTAACCCAATTCTGTTTGAGCTAAAATTTAGGCAGTTATTTTAAGTAAAGTGCCCAGGCTGTCTCCATTCTGCTCACTCTCTCACTGAACACACACGCCTCCACCTCGGCATCATGATTTATGGGACGAGCGGGGTCCCTTTCACTGTGTGTGTTGAGTTGATGACTGCCTCAAGGCATTGGTGGTCTGAGTGAAGGCTCCTCCATTGTTGTCATCCTTCTAGATCTTCGCCACTCCACGTGTGGAGTGACTGGTTTGGCAAACACCCGGCTATGCTTGACTTGACCCAGCCCTGGGCATTTCGGTGGCATCCATTGCTGGCATCTGTAGTTGATGAACTGACTTCGGTTGGGTTGGCCAGATCGTGGGACTCACTGCTTCCCCTTGGCTCTCGAAGGCTATAGAGTCCACTGAGGCTCTGGCGTGCCCTTTGCCTGCTCTTGAATCAAGTGATCTACCCCAGCCTCTGGCCTGGGGGTTTCCTGGCTCTGCTAAAGATGCCCTGTGATGCCGAGACCGGTTTGGCTCAATGGATAGAGCGTCGGCTTGGGGACTGAAGGGTCCCGGGTTCGATTCCGGTCAAGGGCATGTACCTTGGTTGCGGGCATATCCCCAGTAGGGGGTGTGCAAGAGGCAGCTGATCGATGACTCTCTCTCATCGATGTTTCTAGCTCTCTATCTCTCTCCCTTCCTCTCTGTACAAAATCAATAAAATATATATATATATATATATATAAAAAGATGCGACAAGCGACTTTCAACTCAGTCCATGTGACAAGTGACTTTCAACTCAGTCCATTTCACATGGGAGTTGAGGAAAGCTGAGGAGTTAAACTCTTTGACCACTTCCCTCTGCCTTCTTAAACAAGTGGGGACCTCCCTCCCCCATGGTGGTTTTCTCTCAAAATCCCAGATAAGGAGCTAGAAACAGCTTCTCTGCTCCCTCCCTTAACACTCCACACTCTGCACCGAAGCCCAGAGCTGAGATGCTATCATACTGTGTGCCTGACCATGTGCTCCCCCTCAGTCTCTGTGTGGCAGTGATATCTTAACAGGCAGTGTGCCTTCATTCCACGTTTGTATAAGCAACATTTAGAAGTAACACATGGATGGTAAAAAGAGGTCGATGTACTTTGGATGAAATAGTGAAATGTGTGCAGGTTTTCCTTCCTTTCCCATCCTTACTTTTACCTTTAGGCCATTCTCTCCTTCAAGGGCATAACCTCTTGCCAAGTTTGAGGGAAGTTCATACTTAGCAAATATTGTCAGTAGGTTACCTCAGGTATCCTCCTATTTTTCATGGTCGAGGTAATTCTCATACGCCTTTTATATAGCTCTACACTGTGAAGCTTCTAACAGAATTGCATCCTAGGATGTCTTGACTTAAACCAAGTCTAAATTATACTTTCATTTATCTACTCAATCAATTGTCATTGAGTTTCTTTGTTATGCCAAATACTGTTCTAGGCACTGGGGTATAGCAGGTAGCAAGAATGACACAGCCCTTGTTCTCAAGGAACTAAATTCTATGGTGGGGCAAGACAGATAATAAGGAAATATTTTTAAAATTCAATAAGATCATTTCATATTGTAATAGATATTATACTGCTTTCTGTGAAATCTTGTGATTTTTTTGGTAAATTAAAGTGTGTGTTTTTTTTTTAATTTGAAATTTTTGTTGTCTATTGATTTTTAAAATATATAATATATATATTTTATTGATTTTCCACAGAGAGAAAGGGAGAGGGATAGAGAGCTAGAAATGCCGATGAGAAACATCGACCAGCCGCCTCCTGCACACCCCCTACTGGGGATGTGCCCACAACCAATGTACATGCCCTTGACCGGAATCGAATCCGGAACCCTTCAGGCCACAGACCGACGCTCTATCCACTGAGCCAAACCAGTTTCGGTTTATTGATTTTTAAAATTAGAACTTAATAAATCTTTGTTAAAAAATCCTACTGCTAATTAACAATTCACAGGGCTTTATCTCAGCTCCTATAAATATATCTGTAGCAGAACTGCTTCAGCCTGGAAGCCAGCCTTGGGTTCTAGTTTGGCTGTATTGGGGTAGTGATGGGAAGCTGCTTACAACACCAGGAATTGGCACAGTAATTCAAGAAGCTTGACATTGGAGAAATCCAAGTTTCCAATCCTCTTATAGCAGTCCTGCACTGGGCCTGTTCAATCCTGAATGATGTATGAGGTGAATATGTAGTCTTGTCTTAGGAGCATGCCTCACCTTCACTGGCACCTTGACCAGGTTCTTGACCCTCTACTTCTGCACACTCTCCATGTGAGCAGTGTCATCTTTTTTTAAAATTTTTTTTAATTTTATTGATTTTTTTACAGAGAGGAAGAGAGAGGGATAGAGAATTAGAAACATCGATGAGAGAGAATCATTGATCAGATGCCTCTTGCACACCCTACACTGGGGATGGACCTGCAACCAAGGTACATGCCCTTGACCGGAATCGAACCCGGGACCTTTCAATTCGCAGGCCGACACTCCATCCATTGAGCCAAACCGGTTTTGGCAAGCAGTGTCATCTTGCCCACAATTCTGACATCTTACAGCCAATAGCTTCCTCTAAGACAGCGTGACACCTTGGTTCGGACCAGAAGAGCCATATCACCACCCTATGGCTCTGGAGGGTGCTCTTTTCTGTCAGTCTAGATCAGGGGTGGGGAACGTCCAGCCTGCAGGCCGTATAAGCTCCTCAGAATCGTTCGGCCTAACCTTGCCAAGGCATTTGGGGCGAGTTAATTAAATGTTTGACTAAATACAGCAGGCTAATTTCTAAGTTGGTAATTTCGTATGGCCTGCAAATGATGTTATAAATATCCAGATGGCCGTTGGCAGAAAAATGGTTCCCCACCCCTGGTCTAGGTGGTTCATCCCTTAGGTGTCTGATACTAGCGACTGTTTCACTTTCCAGGTGAATACTTAACTCCTCCCACTGTTGGCCGGTTAGTGTGATTATATCTTAAGCGATACTACAGAATTCGTACAGTATAATCACATACATCAGGGAGTTCCTTTCCTCACAGTATCATCCAACTATGAACTTGTGAGTATAGCTTACCAGTCTTTCTTAGAAAGGATAGTTTATATGTGTCTACCCATCTTCCAAAATTAACCTGGTTTACTTTAACTCATCTAACAGATTGTGGGCAATTGTATTATAAACCCCCAAGCAGCTCATATCTCTTTCCCCTAGTCTTACGCTGTAAAATGATAAGATTGGTAACACAAGCCATATATCAGTGAGTCTTTTCTCATAAACCTGGACTCCTGATATTTTTCCTTTTGAAATGATATAATATTTTGGGGTCCCAAAAAGTTTTTCTTACATTGGTATATTAATTTATAATCTGAGAGTATCCATGGGATGAATTGTGAGAGTTGATTCTATAATTTAACTGTTGATGATTTGATACTGATTCTGACGTACGGTGGGCGTTAGAAGATTTAGATCTTAGTCTCACAAGTCTGTGTACTTGGGCAAGTTGTGTAACTTTTTTTGGCCATCATTTACTCATCTGTACAGTGGGGGGAGGGGTTAATATTTGTTCTGCTTACTTCATAGGGTTGTTGACTATGATTATATGCAGTTATGTATATATGGAAATACTAAGGTAGTAGGAGGAAATCAGAGGATAAATTATTAGTTTGAAAACTATCATGTAAAAGATGACCTGAGAGAAGGAGAGCTAAGAACAGCATTTTCTATGTGCCAGGCATCGCTTTTGAAAATACTTTATAGTTTCAGGATGGGGTACTGCTGAAGAAGAATAGAGAGTATCTTCAGTTGAATCTATAATGTCTTATTCTTGGCAGGAAAATCTGCAACAAGAAAGGCAAAATAGAATTCATCTAAATAATGAGTACTCAGTATTCACTGTGATATTCTTTGAAAATTATAAACCTATTTCATAGCATTTTAAAAATATAAGGTCACCTTTCAACAAGATAAAGTATTTCAGTTGGTATGTTTGTGTATCTTGGAGAATCATATATAAACATTTATGTATAATATTAGTTTCATGAGTATGAAAACATTCACATATTTAAATAGTTAATTTTTTTTTTGCAATCAAATATGTTGTTTTTATTATTTTTTTGTTTTCACAGGTTTATAAAGTTCTAGTCTCAGTGGGCAGGAGCGAGTGGTTTGTCTTCAGAAGATATGCAGAATTTGATAAGCTTTACAATACGGTAAGTAATGGTCAGTTTATGAGGTTTTTATTTGAAACACCTGAGAAAACTCAAAAATAAGAGATTTTACTTGAGTGGTTAAATAATATTCAGATATATCAGAGAAGCGGAAAAGAGGAAGAGATTCTTCAAAAGAATTCTAACTTTGGAATTCTTACACAAAAGGATGGAGAGGGTACCATTGACAAGTTCCAAATAAAGTATTGAAAGTATGGAAACCAGATGTACAACTTAAAATATATTTTAATGTTATAGGATATTAGAAATAAATCCTTTACATCTACCTCTCTAATAATTGCTAATCATCATGGTATTTCTGGTTAAATTTATTGTGCTTTTTTTTGTTACTTAGTTTTTCTTTAATGCCTATGCAACTGAAAATTACTGTATATAGTTTTAATATTGCTTAGTCAATATTTAACATATTAAGGCAGTCATTTTTTTTTTACTCGAAGTGAAGTCACATTTTTTAAACAGACTAAAAGCCAGAAGAGTTTATACCTGAGAATATTCTTCTGTAATCTTTTTCAATGATTAAAAAAAAAAAAAAAAGCTTATATTAGAGGCTGGGTGAGGGTTGAATTGCTAGTTCTATTTGAAATTCTTGGATACCATAATGTACATGACTAGCTTTTTTTTTTTTTTTTTTTACATCTGCCTCTCAGGATAGCTGGGTTATACTCAGGTAAAAATAGCATGATGGTAACAACACCCATACACACTTGCACAGAGAGTTTATATGAATTTAGATGAGACCAGGTTTTGTTCAGTGAACTACTAATTTGAGATTTCTTTATGTATTTTGCTTAAAAGATCACATAGGCCAGATTTAACTTCTAAACACGTCTCCTTTTGTAGAACTATAGGGGGTGTCATCCAAAAACTGACCAGTAAAGAGTCTGCATGAATTCAAAGCTTAGCATTCTTGGGATGGTTTCTTTTTAAATATCTGGTGATTAATTGGGTGGGTTATCTTTATTTGAGTACCTTTTAGGGTAAACGTAAAGTATTATAGGAATGTTTCTTTTGGGCATTTCCCCACCATGATCATGTTCTTTCTCTTTTTCCATCAAACATGCCATTTCAAGTATTTTTGTAGACAATTTTCTCAGCATGTAGCTGAGTTTTTATTACCCATCTTCCTCATTTTTCCTGTATTTCTCTTTTTTTTTTTTTTTTTTTTCTTCTTCTCGTTTCCTCGTTTTCTGTGTCTGCCTTTCTCATTTTATATAACCCCTTTCAATTCTGCTTCCTGGGGGGTGGCGGAAAGACAAAAACAGGGGAATAGTATTAGTTGCATTCTTTCAAACTACAGGAGTGAGTTTTTAAACTAAGCCTGATTTCCCTAAGTTTGAAAATACAAATTCTTATGGTTCTTTTACAATAAAAGACAAAAATATAATTGCCAATCTCTGAGCATTTTAATTATCAGTTAAATGTGCTTTTATGACTATTTACATTTTTAAACTTTTTATTGTAGAAATTGATGAATACTATAGAGGTAGAACGACTAATACAAACACAGAAAATAATATAATGTACCATCCGGCTTCAATAATTAAATGGCCGTTCTTGTTTCATCTCTGGCCCTCGCCGGCCCATTGTAATGCTGAAGCAAATTTCATTCATCAGCTGAAACCGGTTTGGCTCAGTGGATAGAGTGTCAGCCTGTGGACTGTAAGGTCCCAGGTTTGATTCCAGTCAAGGGCATGTACCTTGTTTGCAGGCACATCCCCAGTGGCAGGTATGCAAGAGGCAGCTGATGGATGATTCTCTCTCATCGATGTTTCTAACTCTCTATCCCTCTCCCTTCCTTTCTGTAAAAAATCAATAAAATATAGTTTTAAAAAATTCATTCATCATATCATTTCATCTGCAATATTTTAGTATCATCTCTAAAAAAAGATAAAAGTCCTTAGAAACACACACACACATAATATTGTCACATCTAAAACTAAATGAATGGTGATGTCTTACCATCAAATAATCACTCAGTATTCATGTGACTGGTTGATAGGTCTATTGAGTGTCTTTTAATCGTCCACCTCTCTTATCTTTCCTTTACAGCTTTTTGTGGAAAAAGCAGTGTCATTTGTCTACAGACTTTTCAGTCTGGATTTTCCTGATAGCATGCCAGTGGTGTGGAGTGATTAATACATTCTTCTGTTCTATTTCCTGTCAGTTGGTAGTTAGAGACATAGTTTCTGTGTGTGTGTGGGAGACGGGGGAGGGAGAACACTTACCTGAAGGTTATAAGAAAAATAAGCATTAACCCTTATTTATGACTTTTACTGCTACAAAGGGCCTAGTTCCTTCTCTGGGGATAAACAAATCCGATAAATGTTCTAGAACAGCTGAAGTAGAGAATGTTAAAAAGCAAAATTCATCAGCTTTCTTAGAAAACAATTGTCAATCTGTTCATATAGAGAGAACACACAAAAGATCACATCTTCCCCTGAGGTAATAAATGGTGAGTAATATGTATTCAAAATTTACATACTAGATTCTAGTCTAAGCACTTAACGTAAATGATTTCCTTTAAGCCTCCCAACAAGTCTGTAAGGTAAGTGCTACAATTATCCCTTATTTTACAGGCCAGAACCCTGAGGTACAGAGATGTTAAGTAAGTTATCAAGGTCACAAAGCTGCTAAGTGTTCTATTGGCACAAAATAAGATGATTAGACAGACTATCGTATTTTACTGGTGTAACTTAATATTGTACATTAGATCATGACATAGTTAAAAGTATGTCTTTTATTTTGCTGCGTGCATAACTAGAAGACTTGCAAAAATAACTTCATGTGATGTTACTTTTTAAAACTCTAGTTAAAGAAACAGTTTCCCACTATGGCCCTGAAGATTCCTGCCAAGCGGATATTTGGTGATAATTTTGACCCCGGTAAGCGGTAATTTCATAGACCCAGACATCAGTGATGGTTGAAGTTTGAAGACATAGTTAACTCACTCATTGTGTACTGTATACTAATACAAAAGCTTACCAAGCTTATTGATCTCAGGCTCCATGAAAAGAATGTCTCAGGAAGGTGCTTACTGTGTACCACGCACTGATTTAAACATGTCACATGTTGTCATGCATCGAGTCCTCACAACAGCCCTTTGAGTTGGGTATTATTATTATTATCATCATCACTATTTTATAGATAAGGAAACAGAAGCACAGAAGCATAGTTGGGGTCACAGACATCTAGTAAATGTCAGTTTTGGAAGTTAAATTTAACCAGTCTGGTTTCAGAGACATTTTTTTTTTTTTTGTCATGAAGGATTTTTTGGGTACTTGGCTAACCACGAAGGGCGTTCTTTGTTACATTGAGAAGCATTTATTCAAAATGTACCCTGTACCAGCCCCCCTACAAGCCTCTGAATGGGATACTAAAAAATGCCCTATTGCTGAAACCGGTTTGGCTCAGTGGATAGAGCGTCAGCCTGTGGACTGAAAGGTCCTAGGTTTGATTCCAGTCAAGGGCATGTACCTTGGTTGCGGGCACATCCCCAGTAGGGAGTGTGCAGGAGGCAGCTGATTGATGATTCTCTCATCGATGTTTCTAACTCTCTGGCCCTCTCTCTTCCTCTCTGTAAAAAAATCAATAAAACATATATTTTTTTAAAAATGCCCTCTTGCTCACCCTTGAGGAGTGTAATACCACAAAGGACCTCAGGAATCTGGAGCCCGTATGTCCGAAGCCCCAAGCCCGGAGCTTTTCGCTAGAATCCGAGAAATCAGTCCAGGTCACAAGTGGCTACTTATAGAGAGACAGAGTCTCCTTTTCTAGCAGGTATCCTACCAGAAAAGTCATCTACCTGCATAATAGGTGAATCCTGACAAGCCAGAGAGCCCTCCCTCCACACCATCTCACTTCCTTCATTAATTTGCTTGTGACCCTGTAACCCATTGAACCTGGGGTTCCCTACATGTCCGCTCTCAGTCAAATTGCTCTCTACTAAATAGCTCTCAAGTTGCTTATCTTTATTGCACTTTTCCCCATTCTTTCCCTCCCAAACCTTTTCAGTGTACTGTGTGGAATTCTGCTCACAAGGAACAACCTTCTCTTTATCCTTCATCTTTTCCATATTACTCTCACATTCCTGCTTTTGTTAAAACTTGGTTTTCCCCCTGAGGCTGCGTTCGGGTTGATCCCTTGTAACCCTCTCAACTGGAAGCTCTTTATTTATTTATTTATTTATTTATTTTACACTGTATGAAACTCAGGATTGGTGAGGCTTCTCACTTCCCCTAGTACCATGGTCAGCAAACTGCGGCTCTCGAGCCACATGCGGCTCTTTGGCCCATTGAGTGTGGCTCTTCCACAAAATGCCACAGCCTGGGCGAGTCTATTTTGAAGAAGTGGCGTTAGAAGAAGTTTAAAAAAATTTGGCTCTCAAAAGAGATTTCAATTGTTGTACTGTTGTATTGTTGTACTGTTGATATTTAGCTCTGTTGACTAATGAGTTTGCTAAACACTGCCCTAGTATATGTAAATTAAAAAAAATTTTTTTTTTAATATTTTATTGACTTTTTACAGAGAGGAAGAGAGAGTGATAGTTAGAAATATCGATGAGAGAGAAACATTGATCAGCTGCCTCCTGCACACCCCCTAACTGGGGATGTGCCCACAGTCAAGGTACATGCCCTTAACCGGAATCGAACCTGGGACCTTTCAGTCCGCAGGCCAGCGCTCTATCTACTGAGCTAAACCGGTTTCAGCTATATGTAAAAATTTTATTCCCATTTGTAACTACATCATTCACAGGAAACTAGAGGCTAAGCCACTCTCCAAGCCTCACGGCTAATATGTGGGGTATTACTCATCCAGATTTGTTTGTCTCTCTTATTCCCTTAGTCTGTATTCTCTGCTTAAAACACAGTGCCTTTAGAAACAAAATTCATAAACTGTGCATTTTCTTTCAAAGTTACTTGTTTGGAACATTACAGAACTCGGACCTTGTTTCCGGGTCTGAAAGGTGTGCGTTAGGGATGAAGGATCTCTGTGGTCCCTGCGGGCTCTCAATATCCTTTGATCGTGACTATAACCAGGTCACTCTGACCATAAGTATGGTGTTAGGACAAAAAACCACAAGGTCTCTTGTGTGTTTTTTTTTGTTTTGTTTTTACCTCCCATTCCACAGTGGTGAGAGATTGTCTCCTCTTGGATGACTTTTCTAGAAGCACTAAAATGACAAAGAAATCTTTTATAGGTCAGTTTAATACTTATTCTGAGGAGACTAAAGCTTTCATTTTATTGCACTATATTTCACTATATTTGCACTATTATATATTTCATTTTATAAGCACTATATTCTTTTGGATCTCTAATGGAAAACTCTTGAATAACAACAGATACATTCACATAAATTCTTTTTTTAAAAAATAATTTAAGTTAAATTTATTTAAAATAGAATATTATTACATTTTATTTAAAATACATTTTATTGTACTCAATAGTATAAGAAAAATACAGTAAAATCCTAGTATATTTTACATAAATTTTTAATTGGAGAGATTTTTAAAAATATATTATCCCTAACTATAATTCCTTTTTTTTTTTTTTTTTTTTAATCCTCATCCGAGGATATGATTTTAGAGCAAGAGGAAAGAAGAGAAAGAAATATGAATGTGAGAGAGGAACATCAACCGGTTGCCTCACATACACACCTCTACCGGGGGTCGAACCCACAACCTTTTGGTGCCTGGGACGATGCTCCAACCAACTGAGACACCTAGCCAGAGCTCCAACTATAATTGTTTTATTTTTTATTTTTATTGTGTCTATTTATTACTCTCTATACCCTTAATCTAAAGCCTGGATTCCCTAGGCCATTGTTATCATCGTTCTCCCGTCTACTAGGCCTGGAGATATATAGAAGTAGCCTTCTTCCTTTCTTCTAGATCTAGAACATTCTCCTTTTATCCCTTATACAATGCCTGCAGCTTTTTAAAAAACTTGGAATTGCCCCTACATTCTGACTACTACTGACCTTCGTTTTTCATTACCGACTTCTTCTATTTATTTCCTGTAGGGCTTTCAAAGCTGTTTGAAGTCAGTAATGAAGTGGAGAGACAAGTAGCTCTAGTGCAGCAGGGAGTACAGCTCCCTGAAGAAAGCAAATCACTTTTTCTTATCCCAGCCCGTCTCCCAGGATCAGATGTACCGTCAGGGAAAGTCCACACAACAATTTAGAGGTGCTTCCATGTAATCACTAGATTTTACTTAGATAACTCAAATATAGTCATTCATTTCAGTTCTCCCTCTATGTTACTAAATCCAGTTTCTGAAAACAGGTTGTCTATCAAGTATAGGTTTTTAAATATATTTTTATTGAGTTCAGAGAGGAAGGGAGAGAAGGAGAGGGAGGGGGAGGGGGAGAAGGAGAGGGAGGGAGGGAGAGAGAAAGAGAAGAAACATCAGTGATGAGAATCATTGATTGGCTTCTGCAACACACACACCCCCCTCCCTTCTCTAGGGATCAAGCTCGCAATCTGGGCATGTGACCTGACCAGGAATCGAACTGTGACCTCCTAGTTGATAGGACTCTCAACCACCGAGCTACACCGGCTGGGAAAGTATAGTTTTTAATGGAAACCTCACATATGCCTTATGTCCGGTGATATAAAGAATGCCCTTGAAGAGTTTTACAAGATACCTTCCTGAAATTCTTCAAGAAATCCGCAGTTGAACAAGAAGAAGCTGCCACGTGCATCTGTATCTAAGAGACCAGATCTAGTTTATATTTGTCCAACCTTACATGGAAATAAAACCTACGTGACTATTGGGGTGAAAAACACTATATTAAAACTTTGTTGAGTAGAAATCATTTTATTAAACCAAAACTCGCCAAAACTGGTTTGGCTCAATGGATAGAGCGTCAGCCTGCAGACCCAAAGGTCCTGGGTTCGATTCCCGTCAAGGGCATGTACCTTAGTTGCGGGCACATCCCCAGTAGGGGGTGTGCAAGAGGCATCTGATTGATGATTCTCTCTCATTGATGTTTCTAACTCTCTATCCCTCTCTCTTCCTCTCTGTAAAAAATCAATAAAATATATTTTTTTTAAAAAACACCCAAAACTCACTGTTAAGTTGAATGTTGTTTGTAGGTTTTTATGGAGAATTCACTATTTTAAGATACTCTCTTCAAGTCTCCTATTTCTTCAATTTTTAAAATATACAGGTACTCCTTGACTTACATTACATTCTGATAAACCCATTGTATGTTGAAAATATCGTAAGTTGAAAATGCATTGAATACACCTAGTTGAATACATCTAGCTTAGACTAGCCTAGACCTTAAATGTGTTCAGAACACTTACATTTTGCCAACACTGTTGTTGGCAAAATCATCTTGTTGCCATAGAGAATATCATACTGCATATTGCTAGCCTGGGGAAAGATCAAAATACAAAGTATGGTTTCTTCTTTCATACCACTGTAAAGTTGAAAAATCCTAAGTCATACCTTTTAAGTCAGGGACTATTTGTATTTCTTAAGAATTTGAGTTTAGGATGATGGCTTTTTGATTCAAAAACAACAAAAATAGTAATAGCTGAAGATTGTGCTCTTTCTACCAGGCATTCTACTGTAAAATTATATGAAATCACATTTAATCCTGTAACAATAATATGATAACAATATTATTGTTCTTGTTCCCATTTTATAAGTAAGGACTTAAATCTTAGAAAGGTTCAAGGTCAGCTAATAAGTAGCAGAGGCAAGATACTTGAATACAGTTTTCAAATTCTAAGAAACCTTTGTGCTTACCCTTTATTGCTAAACTGCTGTTGCATGAAAGTAAAAACACTTTGAAGATACTGGACAGTTATTTGTTAGGACAATTATTTGTTAGTGTTCTGGTGTATTTTTAAGGGTGAGTTTATTTTTTAGCATCAAAGTTTTGATGAAACTCAAGTAACCGATTAATCATCCCCCAGTTGCAAGGATTTCCTGTAATTCTTGTTTTGTTTTGTTTTTAATTAGCATGGTATGTTTTTTTTTTCAGTCACCAGTGTCATAGTGTTAATTTTTATTTCTTACTTGATAGCGCAGGAGGAGTTGGACAAAAAGCGAATGCTCCCAGTTTTTGTAGTGAATCTGTTTAGAACCTAAAATAGACTCTCTTTTTGGAGAATTTTCTTTTGGGAGATATGCTATCTGCTTTACTTTATTTCTATAATCATTTTATTATGGATTTTAAAATATATTTCTAAGTATTTGTTTTTTTGTGGCTTTTGAAAAATATATTTTATTGATTTTTTTACCGAGAGGAAGGAAGATGGATAGAGAGCTAGAAACATCGATGAGAGAGAAACATTGACCAGCTGCCTCCTGCACGCCCCCTACCGGGGATGTGCCCACAACCAAAGTACATGCCCTTGTCCGGAATCGAACCTGGGACCTTTCAGTCCGCAGACCGAGGCTCTATCCTCTGAGCCAAACCGGTTTTGGCTGTTTTTGTTTTTTTTAATTGTAAATCAAGAAACATAAATTTAGAAATGTCTCTTCTCTGTTCTTACATAACTGTATTGATAATTACATGGTCTGACATAAATAATCCTAATAGCAGATATCTCTCTTAACAGATTTTATCAAACAAAGAAGAGCAGGACTAAATGAATTCATTCAGAACTTAGTTAGGCATCCAGAGCTTTACAACCAGTAAGTAATTTTCATTGTGTTCTGAAGAGGCACTGACACCAAACCTAAGACTATTGAATAAAGTTACTGGTGCAGATTTTATATGTTCTGTGGAATGTCACTGTGCTACACACGTGTATGTGTGTGTGTGTTTGTAAAATATTCCTCAAGCATTTCCCCCTGGTGTTTTGTTTTTTGGGTTTTGTTTTGTTTTATTTTGTTTTTTGTATTGTTAATCCTCACCCAAGATTATTTTTCCATTGATTTGTAGAAAGAGTAGAAGTGAGAGATCAAGAGAAAGAGACATTGATGAGAGAGAGAAACATTGATTGGTTGCCTCCTGCATGCACAGGAACCAGAGCTGGAGATTGCCGGCCAGGCCTAGGGACCCTACCCATGCATGAATTTCGTGCACTGGGCCTCTAGTTAATAAATAATTGTACAAGAATAGATCTGTTCTGCGCACTCACAGCTGTAAGCCTACTTTTGCGCCACTGTATTTAAACTTGCTAAGAGTGTAGATCTCAGATTCTCACCACAAGAAAAAAAAATTGTAACTGTGTATAGTGATGGATATTAATTAGACTTGTGATCATTTTACAATACATACAAATAATCAGATACATCTCAAGAAGAAAAAAAGATGTGCTCGCTTCGGCAGCACATATAACTAAAATTGGAACGATACAGAGAAGATTAGCATGGCCCCTGTGCAAGGATGACACGCAAATTCATGAAGCATTCCATATTAAAAAAAAAAAGAAGAAGAAGAAGAAAACAAAAAGAACAATTTGGTAGACGGTCTCTGATACAGAGGTTGAATCGTTGCTCGGGATTGTCGTTCATCCACACAAAGCCCCTCTTTTATTTTAGTCCATTTTTTTCTCTCCATCTTTGATCTTCACTCACAATTCTTCATTCCTCTATTGATGCCCACATTAATGTGTTTGTTACATGTCTTTGGATACCTGTTAACTGACTGTTGCTTTGTGTTCCTAAGTATTTAATATACATACACACATAAATGGTACTGGGCTGTAGTTCCTTGTGTCTGCCTGCTGTAGGCAATTTCCATGCTTGCCTACTCATTTCTCTAGTGGTAGATGGCTGTTTTGCTTCTGATTCACTGCTGTAAGGAGTGTTGCAATGAGTATCCTAGTTACGGGCCTTTCATTGAGCCCGGGCATATTTTTTTCCTGTGGTTTGTTCCTAGAACTGGAATTTCTGGGTCAGGGAGACGCATACACAGTCTCACCAAGTTCTGCCAGATTGCTTTTCAGAAAACGTGCTCATTTTACATTCTCACCAGTAATACATGAGGATGTCTCCTTCCCTATATGCCTACCAACTTTTGATATTATCTATCTTTCTAATTTTTGCCATTTAATGGACATAAAGTGGTATCTCATTATCTCATTGTTATTTTAATTTGTATTTCTTGTACTATTAGTAAAGTTAGGCATCTTGATAAATTTCTTACCGTTTGGGTTTTGTCTTCTATGAACTGACTATTTATGCCTTTGCCCATGTTAGATTATCTGTTTTTTTTTTTGTTTGTTTTTTCTTTGTTTTTTTTTTGAAGGAAAATTTAATATTATCTCTGTTTTTTTTTAAATAAGTTGCTTATTCCTTTTATAATAATGATTATTAATAGATTTTGTTTGGCTTTATTACTATCAGTTGTATTATAATTATCTTTATTTTCATTTTAAAAGGGAGAAACTGTAGAAATACTTTCAAAGTCATAATAAAGTTAATTTTTGTTTTTAGTCCAGATGTCAGAGCGTTCCTTCAAATGGACAGTCCGAAACACCAGTCAGATCCATCTGAAGATGAGGATGAAAGAAGTACTGAGAAGGTAGTTAAAAGGGAATGTATTTTTTAACAGAAAAAAATACCATTACCCAAAGATGAAATTATTGGCAACTTTAGGACATATAGTTAAAACAAAGGCATTTTATCCATTGTAAATTTTCTGTTCTGTAGAATACCTAAAAACAAAAGTGCATACTTCTGACTGATCACTATTATAAAATTTATAAATGAGCACATTTTATAATACAAAGTAATACATGTTAATTAGTTTTGAAAATAGTAAGGAGGGAAACATTACCCATATTATCAGAACCCAAGTAATTTTTAACACTTTAGTGATTTTTCTTTCTAATCTTCTCTTAACATATAATGATTTTTCAAATTATCTAATTCTAATTATATAGTGTATACAGTTTTGTATTCCACTCTTCATTTTACATCTCTTTTTTGTCACTGTGACTGCATCTTCATCATTAAACTTGAATAGGATATTTTAATTTTTATTTATTTTTATTTATTTTTTAAATATATTTTTATTGATATTAGAGAGGAAGGGAGAGGGAAAGAGAGATAGAAACATCAACGATGAAAGAGAATCTTGGTTGGCTGCCTCCTGCATACCCCCTCCTAGATATTGGGCCCGAAACCCAGGCATGTGCTCTGACCAGGAATCAAACCGTGACCTCCTGGTTCATAAGTCAGTGCTCAGTCATTGAGCCACACTGGCTGGGCAGATATTTTATTTTATTTTTTAAATAAAGGTAAATATAATAAGCTCATGCCTTATTATGAAGCTATTTTCTGCATTTACTTTAAAAATTATCTGGGAAAGGTAAATTATAATAATTTAACTAGACAGATTATTAGTTAGCAATTCAAATAATAATTACAAGTATTATAGCTGAAACTGGTTTGGCTCAGTAGGTGGAGCGTCGGCCTGCGGACTGAGCGGTCCCAGGTTCGGTTCCGGTCAGGGGCATGTACCTTGGTTGCAGGCACGTCCCCAGTGGGGGGTGTGCAAGAGGCGGCTGATCGATGTTTCTCTCTCATCGATGTTTCTAGCTCTCTATCCCTTTCTCTTCTTCTCTGTAAAAAAATCAATAAAATATATATATTTTAAAATAATTACAAGTGTTATAAATATGATAATACCTTTATAATTCAAAATTGATTATTAAAATACATACATACAAATCAGAGGTTTGGGGTTGAAGGGCATTTTTGTTTTTATAATGTCTTTTAATTGTGTCATGGATCTCCTTTTGTAACTTACAAGATAATATTAAGAGTTGGAACATGACTGTCCCGCAGCGAAAACCTTCCTTTGATAATAGATGTATTTCTTTTTTGCAACTGCTGGCAAGTAGTAATGTTTTCTGAGGCCCCAAGGGGATTCTCAGTTAAGAGAACAGGTTTAATTTTTCCATCTGTGACATGGTTGCTCCTAGGACAATGCAAAGAATATTTTTATCTTATACTTCTGCAACTAGTCCAAAGAGAAGTTGGAAAAGCATTTGTAACCAATGAGGTAGAGGGAATAGTGTCTATATAAAAAGCTCATATAAATGGATTTTTCAAAAGAATGATACTTAAGATCCCAGTAGATTAAAACAAAAGAAAAGCAACATGAAGAAATAGTGTTTCTAAATAAATGTATGGAAACATGTTCAGCCTTGGTACCAATAGAAGACTATATTTTTAAGTGAGATTTTTTTTCTCTCTACCACGTTAACTAAATGTAACGTAAATAAAATACTGTAGGACTGAGAAGGTAAGGTGCAATGGGCACCCGTGGGCATTACTGGTTTCATAAACTTATGCAGCTCTTTTGGAAAGCAATTTGGCAATCTGAGTCAGACATAACTATTCATGTCCTTTGGGAGCTGAGGCAAAGGAAACGCTCCTTCCTAAGGAGAAAAGACAAAGATGTTCAGTTTCCTGTGATTTGTAATGAAAAAGTAAAATCACGTTAAACATTCATCAATCAAATAGTATGTCTCTATACATTGTACACTTAAAAAGTATTTTTGGAGATGTATTTTAAGTTTTGACATACGGTTAGATGAAATCAGGCTATTACGTTTTATATGCATATTCACACGTGTGATTACAGCCAGTTTTGAAAAGTTATTGCCGAAACCGGTTTGGCTCAGTGGTAGAGAGTCGGTCTGAGGACTGAAAGGTCCCAGGTTCGATTCCGGTCAAGGGCATGTACATTGGTTGCAGGCACATCCCCAGTAGGGGATGTGCAAGAGGCAGCTGGTCGATGTTTCTCTCTCATCGACGTTTCTGGCTCTCTATCTCTCTCCCTTCCTCCTCTCTGTAAAATATCAATTAAATATATTTTAAAAAAAGGAAAGTTATGCAAAGATTGCAGTATATGAAATCACTGTTAAAGTTTTACAAAATGATCTGTTGATAAAGTTGTGGATTTTTTTTTAAAGAAGTCTTCTTCCTAGTTCTTTCCATATTTTCCAATTATGAGTATATGTTATTAATTGAAAAAGATGAAACTGTTTTAAAATATTTTAAAGGACAAAAATCTGTATAACCATGGTTTTTCCATATTTTACTTGCTAACCATGTTGAGAGTATGTAGATTTAGGTCAATTAGAGAATGTCTTACCTTGCTATAAGAGACAGCTGGCTTTGAAAGAACCAAACTGAGCCCTCGGTTGGATGTTGTCCTGTGCACCGAAAAGTTGCTGGTTCGATTCCCTGTCAGGGCACATGCCTGGTTGTGGGCTGGGTTCCTGGAAGGGGCATGCAGGAGGCAGCTGGTCAGTATTTTGCTCTCACATCAGTGTTTCTCTCTCCTCCCTTCCTCTCTCTTAAAAAAAAAAAGAAAGAGAGAGAGAAAAGAAAAGAAAAGAATAAAAGAAAGAACCTACTGAAAGATTCCTGGCTCCAAGCTTCTATTCTGTCACTATTAGCTTTAGATCTGAATTTTCTTTCTTTTTTCTTTTTTCATCCATAAAATCTGAAACTTAGACTAGGATACCTTGCAGTTTTAAAATACTGATAAAAATAATCTCTTTTGAAAAGGGAACAAGCTATACTTGTCTTGTACTTGTAATTACTTATTAATAGTTACAAGTTAGGACTTTTAAGTCGATAACTCTATGAAGTTAATAGCCAGATAATATCTTGGAAGGGATATGGACCTACCCCTTATTTATAGAGAGAAAAATAGAGGTCAAGAGAAGTAAATAAATATGTTCTTGATTAGTGTTCACTCTGTTAATAAATTATACCTCACCTTCAGTTTAGTGATTTGAAGTAATATTTAAAACTAGCTGGGAGGGGTAGCTGGTGGATTGAGGGGAGGAAAAAAAAAGAGAACTCATTTATTCGAACAACAGTGTGATCATTGCAGAGAAGAGGGGGGTGGGTGGAGGTGGAGGAGGGTGGAGGGGATAAATGGAGTTGGTTAAAGAAAAATAGTAGGTAGAGTTAAAAGTTACCTAATTATATACTCCAGTAATTTTCATTATTATTTCAGAAATGTGCTCTACTGGAAAAACTATTGCCAAATAATAAAATCATACTACGTGTTAATGAATTCAGAGGACAGGTTGTTTGTTAATATTTAATTCACGCTTATTTGAATTCACTTCTCTCATCTATACAAGAAAAATTTATTGAATGGAAACATGATCCAATTCTCTGCATATCATTAAAAGAATAACTATATTGAAATTACAATTTAGTTTGGATTACATTATCATATTCTATGGAACACTATAATATATAAACATAATCACAGTATTAAGTCAGATTATTATGCTCTACACCTTAAACTAAATTTATACAGTGCTGCTTGTCAATTATATCTCAATAAAATTGGGGAGGGGAGATTACTCTGTTATGATGATGCCACAATAAGGTAATTCTCATTTATTAACCATTTTCTTTTGTCTTGTGCTAGACTATTATGGTTCCTTATATTTTTGTGTTCTGGGGATTGACTTTCTATTACAGAAAGATTTTTCACATAAAGGTATTGTTAGGAAATGCATTTGATTTATAATTAAAGACTGGTGCCAGTGTTGTTGTTTCATAAGAAACATTATACATCGGAACTTTTGTCCTTTATTTTTTAAAATAGCTTATATTCTGGAGATTGCCCCTAAGTTTCAGATGAATTTAAGTGAAATGCATATAATATTTGTCTCTAATATTGAAATTGCTCAGATAAAATTCATTGGTTATGATTAACGTAAAGAAGTTTTTAAAAGCTTATTTCATACCTAGAGCTTATTATGAAAAATCTTCTATAATAATAAGAGCGTAGTATGCTAATTAGACCGGGCGTCCTCCTGGATGACCTTCTGGACGAAGCCAGGGCTGTGAGGGAAGCCCGGGTCCCGGGTGCCAGCAGCGGGGGGAAGGAAGGCCTACTCTAGTATGAATTTCATGCATCAGGCCTCTAGTAATTACATAAGGCTCTAGTAAAAGTATCCATCTTTGTTGGGAAATCTGAAAACCAAAAGCCATTTGTAATCAGGTTAATTTTTTTAAAATCTTTATTGTTGACAGTATTACCGATGTCCCCTTTGTTTGTCGTTTTGTTTTCTTTTCCCCACTGACCCCTGCACCCTGCACACACCCCTCCCAGGCCTTCACCAGACTCTTGTTTGTGTCAATGAGACATGCATACATGCGTGTAAGTTCACCAGATAATCTCCCCCCCACCAGGTCTTTAAATGTGAAAACGATCCCTCTTAAATTGTGGTTTCAGTGCCCACCTCTTCCACGGAGCTTTCCCCAGTTTACTTCATTCTTTGTCCACTTGGAGTTTGATTTCTGCCTTACCCTTTTCCTTGTAACTGCTCTTGAAATGTATCATAAAAGTGATTATGGATGGTACCAAGTAAGTCTGTATGTTTATTTAGGATTAGGGCTTTAGGTTTCTTTCACATGGCACTACACCATGTATCTGGTGCAGTAATGAAAACATTCATTGGCCGAGACCGGTTTTGCTCAATGGATAGAGCGTCGGCTTGGGGACTGAAAGGTCCCGGGTTCAATTCCGGTCAAGGACATGTACCTTGGTTGCGGGCATATCCCCAGTAGGGGGTGTGCAAGAGGCAGCTGATCGATGACTCTCTCTCATCGATGTTTCTAACTCTCTATCTCTCTCCCTTCCTCTCTGTACAAAAATCAATAAAATATATATATAAAAAAAAAGAAAACATTCATTGACCGTTGAAGCTCCATTATGAACTTTAATGTGTGTTTCTCGCCCCCTCCCATTCCAACAGCTACACTCTACCTCACAGAACATCAACCTGGGACCGTCTGGAAATCCTCAGTAGGTTTGATTTGTTCCAAACAATCCTTTCAATTTTAGGAGGATTTTTTTTTTTTTTATGTGAATGTTCAGATAGAATTTGACCAGTTTAACTGGAAGGCTGAGAGATATAACCCTAGCTACAGTGCAAATAATACTGTCCTATGCTTGCCTAATTTATCGCTCTAGCTTTACATTGCTTTAGTAGAGCTCTAAGGCATTTTTAACCCACAAATTATTAATCTGCTTCTATTTCACTTTTGTTACTTCCCACTCTCTGTCTTTTTCCCTCTCTCTCTTTCTGTGCATGCGTGTGTGTGTGTGTGTGTGTGTGTGTGTGTGTGTGTGTGTAAAATCAGTAGACTGTATTTCCCAGGGGACCATAAGACCTGGGGGTACTTGGGAAGTGTTTGACAGAAGCATCTATGCAGGCCTAATTGGTATTCTCCTAGTACTCAGCGTCATTGGTGCAGACCCTGGTTGTTGGCCAGCTTGTTCCAGAGTACTCATAACACGTGTTAGTTCATTAAAGGCTGCGCAACATTCTTTATGCAGGTGCTCCCGTATTTAACTGACCCTGGGATTGGAACATTTAGAGGAACCCCAGGAGTGAAAACTATAGACTCTATCTTGAGTGTCAACTGTAGTAATTCATTGGAAGGGAATGCCCAGAACACCGGATACAAAGGATTCCCAGGCCACTTCTTGGCTCAGTGTGAGGAGTGCCCTGAACAGTTTTGTCATGTCTGCCGGGATTAGAGAAGGACTGTTGCTATCCTTTCTTGTAAATCATTTTTATAGCCTTATTGGACTAATTCTAAAGTATTCTGTCTTTTATCCCAGGATACTACGCTTCCCTCACCCCTTTGGTCCTCTTAAACAGTGAGTATAGACAGATAAGAGACATGGTCCAAGGACTGGGTCATGGGACACGTCAGCATTATAGGGAGGTCAGGGAGGAGCCAGTAAGGGGCACTAAAGAAGGAGGAAGTGGTGAGAAAGGAGGAAGACAAGGAATGCAGTGTCACACGATCAGGTGAAGAAAGTGTCTCGCGGAGGAGGGAGTCATTGACTCAGTTAACAGTGCTAACAGGGCAAGTAAGATGAAGGTTGAGAACCGACCACTGGCTCCGATCAGTCACTGGCGACTGTTACGAGCAGTGTGGCGGGTACAAAGACCCTGACAGGAAAGGGTTCAAAACAGAACTAGAGGAGAGGAGAGCAGGTATAGACAAGGAGTTGAAACCACTCACTTGAGTTTTGCTGCCTAAGGAAGCACAGGAGTGGGATGGTAACTAGAAGAAGTTTGGTTTTGAGCATTTTACTGCCATTATACCACTGAGCTGGTGAGGCAGCACAAAAACGGAAATTTGCTTTCAATCAGGATTTATCACCAGCAGTTAACGGTGGGGCCTCAGTTAGTGCGTTTAACCTGAGGGATTTGCATGTTTTTTTTCACTATTCTATTTGTTTAAAAAATTATTTCAGTATCTCAGCATATCATTAAAGAACAAAATAACTAGTCCAAAGAGCACATTCTTGAAGAAGAAAAAAACATCTAAGCTTAGTTAAGTATTTATTTCCCTCACCTTCACCTGTTATTATTTAACCTAGACGTGGTGTTACTCTCATGTTTGAATATTATTATCTCTTTTAATGATGAATTGAAGGAAATTTAGGCTCTTAACTGGAATCATTCCCCTTTCCTTAGTACAACTTGGCAGTTCAGACCGTGTCAAAGGAAACAGCTCTGCTGGCTGCTTATGCTCAACTTTCTGCTACTCTGTGCTTTTGCCTGCATTCAGCCAATGCTTTTTTTACTGACAGGATAGTAGAACTAGGACAATATTAGTATTCCCTCTGGCTTCTCTACTCCTGGCTTTCCTATTATACATTACCACTTTTGAGAATAAGCAGAGAGAGGTCTTTATCTGTAATGCATAAGTGATATGTATGCAAAGCACTGTGATGACTTTTTTTTCCTCCATCAGAAATTTTTCTTAGTGACTTTACCAGGTGTTTTCAGCTATTAACTTCCTTTTCGGAAGAATTACCAATCTGGAGAGTCCTTGGAATGTCTTACTAATTTATACAGTTATTTGTTATCTTCATTAACAATATTGGTGAGGTTTATAGTTAATAAAATTGGGTTAGACAGAAGCTATCTTGAGTTCAAAGCTAGATGTACCATTTTCTTCTAATGCGGCTATTATTGAAGTTTCTTGTAAGCAGAACTTAACAAGGCATAATGTTATAAAATATCAACTCAGAAAATAGATATTATTACTTAGTATTGCCTCATTTGTATTAAAAATGAGTTGCCACTAGTGTGAAAGTGAAGTCATCATGCTGAAGTGTTTTGTACTCAACAATTTACTTGTCAAAGAGTGTGCTGAGAAATGTTTAAAAGTTAACATTTGTCCTATTTCTAGGAGGCTCATTCTTGTCGTTCATTTATTTCAGTGCTAAACCAACAGACTTTGACTTCTTAAAAGTTATTGGAAAAGGCAGCTTTGGCAAGGTAAGAGTGTTTTTATTTTCTCCTTTAGTAAATAAGTACTTACGGAATGCAAGCCTTATATACTTGCCAGGACCCAAAGCCTGTTGGTATGCAGGATCTGGAGTTAAGATCCTTTCTGTACCTTCAAAGTACAGACAGAATAATTAGGGATGGAAGGCACCTACTTAAATTATAACATAAAGTTTATTTGTTCAAAAAGTTTCTGTTGAGTAGCTACTCTGTGCCATGCACTGTTCTGGTCCCTGTTTAGATAATACTGAACAAAACTGACATGGTTACTGCGTTTGTGATGCTTTCTGCCTACTGGGTGGGAATAGTAAATTAAAAATATGCAATCAAATAGATAATTGTAAGTAGTAATGGGGCTGTGAAGGAATTGAAGAATAGAGCAAAGGAAACTCTAGGTGGTAGCAGTGGGAGGTGGGATGGGGATTGGGGAGGCGTCCCTGCTTAGATGGGTGGGTCAGTACTTGCTTCTCTGAAGAAGTGCTATTGAAGCTGAGGCAGAAAGACAACAGTGAGCAGCTGTGTAAATAATAGTTGTGGGGAGAAAGGTTCTGTGAAGACCCTACTTCTCAGAAGTGAGTGTCAATGGAGTCATTTAACTTGACAGTGTGGCCACCAGGAGAAGACAATCACTTAAGGCCAGAAGGATCATAGATGGTGTTATCAGAATCATAAAATACATTTAAGTGCTTTTTTTTTTTTGCATTATACTTCAATCTGCAGTCAAAATAAATATGTATGTATTTAATTATAGTTTGCTGTATTCATAGCTCTCTGTATCTCTGGCTTGTTTTCTGAGTTCCCTAGATACCAGAAAGTGTGGCCATGCAACTAAACCCATGTATGTTCATTAATTCAGCAAATTTATATTTTGACCACCTGCTACATGCTGGCCAATAGAAAAATAGAAATAGATGTGCTCTCAAAATGCTCACAGTTCCTTGAGATGTTAGAGATACTCAGTGATTAATACCAAAAAGCATTATCTTTTGGAAACTTCATGTTTAGAGCCTACCAGGTGTGGGTTCTTGCATACAATAGGAGGGGTAGGGTCACAGTTTATTTTGTTCCCTGTGGATAGCTAATGTATCCCACATAATCTATTGCAAAGACTGTTCTTTCCCCATGGATCTGCAGGGTGGCCTTCATCACATCTCCAGTGTCCATATGTGCCTGGATCTATTTGTAGATTTTACGTTTTATATTTGTTTCTAGATTGTGTATTGTGTTTCAGTAGTTTATCTATCCTTGCACCAATACCACATTGTCTTGACAAATGTAGCTTGATTTCTGACAGAACCAGTCTTCCCTCCTTATTCTTCTTCATGAGCTCTTTGCATATTTATATAAATGTTAGAAATTAGCAAGCCAGTTTCCACAAGACTCTGTTGGATTTTGATTGGGACTGCATTGAGTCTATAGATCAATTGGGGAAGAATTGTCATCCTTACATTACTGAGTCTTCTAGTCAGTGACCATGGTATATCCTTCTGTTAATTTAGTTCATCTTTATTTTTTCTCAGGACTGTTTCATAGTGTTCTATATTGGGCTGGATTGCATGTACATTCAAGGACCTAATTACACATCTTTAATTAGATATTTACTGCTCTACATTGTGTTTTTTTATGCCGATTGAAACTTGTTACTTATTGAAGTTGAATGTATGCAATACCTATGACACATTGGTTCTACTCCTAGCTATACATCCAACAGAAATGCATGCACAGCCGAAACCGGTTTGGCTCAGCGGTAGAGTGTCGGTCTACGGACTGAAAGGTCCCAGGTTCGATTCCAGTCAAGGGCATGTACGTTGGTTGTGGGCACATCCCCGGTAGGGGGTGTGCAAGAGGCAGCTGGTTGATGTTTCTCTCTCATTGACGTTTCTAGCTCTCTATCTCTCTCCCTTCTTCTCTGTAAAAAATCAATAAAATATATTAAAAAAAAGAAAAAGAAAAAGAAAGAAATGCATGCACATATGCACTAGGAAAGGCATGTGCCAGAATATTTATAGCATCGTTATTAATCAACAATTTAAATGTCTGTCAACAAAGGAGTGGATTAAATTGCATAATGCAGTAGTCTACATAGCAATAAACATTTTAAAAACTATAGGACATGTTACAACTTGAATGGGTATTAGATAATTTAGAGAGAAAGAAGTTAGGCAGAGACAACACTACATGATTTTAATTAAAAAAATTTTTTAAATGATAATATCAAATTACCTGTGTTATTATGAGTTGAGATAGTGGTTACCTTTGAGAAAGACAGGGATGAGTAGTTTCTGGAATGGGGCCAAAGCAGGGAATTCATGCTACCCAAAATGTTTTACCTTTTGACCTGGATAGTGGTTACATAATGTGTTCATTTAGTAATAATTTACTGAATTATAATCATTTGTGAGCTATTTTACTTATACGTTATTTAATAAAAATTAAAAATCCTGCAAAATGGTTAGAAACCAACAAAGAGCAGTAAAACAAAGAGAAACAGAATACACAAAAAGAAGGAAAAGCAGAAAAACGCAAATTCACAATGTGTTTGAAAAACAGAAAAATATGCATGATAAGCTAAAATAAATAATGACAATCTAACATTTATTCTTATCTTTTCTCCAGCGAGTGGTCTTGGTTTCATTTTTTCATTTGCACATTTGTGTGTGAGTTTTGTTGTTGTTGTTAGTTCTAACGTAAGGATATTTTTCTATTGATTTTCATAGTGTAAGGGAGTAGGGAGAGAGAGAGAGAGAAACATCGATGTGAGAGAGATATATTGATTGATTGCTTTCCTCGCTTGGCCCAACTAGTGGGGTTGGGATCTTGTTTGCAACCAAGGTACTTTCCCTTAACCAAAATTGAACCTGGGATCCTTGAGTCCACAGGCTGGTGCTCTATCCACTGAGCAAAACTGGCTAGGCTTACATATTTGTTTGTTAAGCATTTGTGGTTGGGGTGGGGGAGAAATACCTACTTGAAGGAAATCATACTTCCTAGTTGCCACATTATTTGAATTACTATCTCCGAATGTACTTGAAGATGAACCAGTGAAAACAGAGACGGATAAGTCAGGAAGGGGTGAGGTGCTGAGAAAAGGAAAAGTGTAAGAAGGAAAGAGCGTTCAACAGAGTCAGATAGTACCGAGAACAAAAGAATGGGGCATGAGAAGAATGCCACCAGCTGAACACGGGCCATTTTCACCCTAAAGATGTTTTGACTACATCTTTGAATAACAATCATTTTTTTTTTTCAAATCAATAGACTTCATTTTTTAGAACAGTTTTAGATTTACAGAAAAATTGAATGAAGAGAAAAATACAGAAAGTTCGGAGAATTCCCAATCTGTCCCCTAGTCTACACTCACAGGTTACCCTTTTATCAACATCTTACATTAGTAAGGCACATTTGTTCCTGTTAATGAACCAATGCTGATGCATTATTATTAACCAAAGTTCATCATTTACTTAGATTTCCTTAGTTTTTACCTTTTTCTATTTCAGATCTCATCCACCATACCACATTACATTTAGTTGTGTGCTCCTTAAGTTCCTCTTAGCTGTGACAGTTCCTCAGACTGTCCTTGGTTTTGAGGACTGATGGGTTTGAAGAGCTTTAGTTAGGTATATTGAAGAGGCCCCTCTGTTGGGATGTGTCAGATGTTTCTCATGCTTAGGCTGGATGAGGACGACCACAGATGTATGAGAAGGGAAGGAAGGCCCGGAAATGTCACTGTTGTGCCAGATCATCTTCGAAAGATTGGGAATGTATCACTGACTAGTTGCACAACTTGTGGGTCATCTTGAATTCCTTAAAAGTACTTGCAAATCTTGAGTGTATGTCTACCTGTGTTCTGAGGCCAAATTCTCTTCTGCTTTCTCAGGTCCTTGAAAGTGCATGCCCCCCAACTCAGCTCTCCACGGTGCCTTTCTCTCCAGTCTTCTGAATTTGAAGCCTCTAAGAGAAACCTAAAAGTTAAAATAAAAAGTTATTTTGATCATCTAGAAACCTTTTTCTTCTTTTTTTTCCTATGTAGCCATGAAACTTATAGCCTCAGTATTTTAAAAAATATATATTTTATTGATTTTTTCAGAGAGGAAGAGAGAGGGATAGAGTTAGAAATATCGATGAGAGAGAAACATCGATCAGCTGCCTCCTGTACACCCACTACTGGGGATGTGCCCGCAACCAAGGTACATGCCCTTGACCGGAGTCAAACCCAGGACCTTTCAGTCCTCAGGCTGACGCTCTATTCACTGATCCAAATCTGTTTCAGCATAGCCTCAGTATTTTCTAAGGACACTCTTCGACTTGTGTTTGGCGCGCGCGCGCGCACACACACACACACACACACACACACACACACACAGAGGCGTAAAGATCTCCAACAGCATTGATATATAGATATTGGTACTTAAATTTAGTAAAAATCTCAAACATTAGCACACAAAGAAATGGTGCCTGGCTATTCAAATGATCAACATCCTTTTTTTGTCTTATTAAAATGCTTAAGGAAAAGTGGATTTATAGAAATAAATTTAGCATTTTTTCAAAATAACCTCATATTATCTAGGTCTTTTGTAGATTTTTTAATACAATTTAAGTATTGATTTATTTACAAGCGAGTTATTGCTGTAAATTAGTATTGACATTTCTAATAGTATGCACAATCTTTAATTAAAACAGGTTCTTCTTGCAAAACGGAAACTGGATGGAAAATTCTATGCTGTCAAAGTGTTACAGAAAAAAATAGTTCTCAACAGAAGAGAGGTGACATGAAAGAGCTTTGTTTCTCCTAAGTCCCTCTTTTCAATTAACAAAACTGTTTTATTGCATATCATACAAGTTGATCCTTTACCCTTTTTTTTTTTTAACAGCAAAAACATATTATGGCTGAACGTAACGTGCTCTTGAAAAATGTGAAGCATCCATTTTTGGTTGGATTACATTATTCCTTCCAAACAACTGAAAAGCTTTATTTTGTTCTGGATTTTGTTAATGGAGGGGAGGTGAGTTGTTTTTTTTGTTGTTTGTTTGTTGTTTGTTTGTTTGTTTTTAGTTTTACAATATTGGCACTGTTTAGAAAAAAATAGAATAAAGTCAAAGTTTTTCTTTCCTTATACATGTTTGGAAGGTTAGTCCAGCATCAACTGCTATTTGTTGAGTAGCAACAGTATTTAAGGTGCGGCTAATAAGCATGACATAAGCGCAAAGCTCTTTATAAATCAGCTTATGGTGTAGGTGGGGAGGGTCATAAAAGAAACTTAACATGAAGTTACAGTCTTCATGGATAGTTTTGGCACTACTATATAGCAAGAATAATGTACTGAAACAGAGTAAAACATGACTTATAATTTAGATAATTATTGCTTTAATACTTGTATATAAATACTACTATACCCTGTCATTTTCTTCTTCTTTTTTTTTTTTATTGGATATATATATTTTTTTTAAATATATTTTATTGATTTTTGTACAGAAACGAAAGGAGAGAGGTAGAGAGTTAGAAACATCAATGAGAGAGAGTCATCGATCAGCTGCCTCTTGCACACCCCCTACTGGGGAAATGCCCGCAACCAAGGTACATGCCCTTGACCGGAATCGAACCCGGGGCACTTCAGTCCCCAAGCTGACGCTCTATCCATTGAGCCAAACCGGTTTTGGCTTTTTTATTGGATATATTGAGGTGACATTGTTCACAAAGTCACACAGGTTTCAAGTGTACAACTCAGCAAACCATCATCTGGGCACACTGCATTACATGCCCATGGCCCAGTACAGTCTCTTTCCATCTCCACTTACCCCGCTTTGCCCACCTCCACCTCCCCGCAGCCCCCTTTGTCTCTGGCCGTCACCACACTGTTGTCTTTGTCTGTGTGTTTTATATGTGTGTGTTTTTGTTTTTCTTTGCTTAATCTCTTCACCTTCTTCCATCCAGCTCCCCAAACCCGCTCTCCGCTGACAGCCGTCAGTCTGTCCCATATAACCATCCATGCCTTTGATTCTATTTTGTTTGTCAGTTTATTTTGTTTATTGGATTCCACATATAAGTCAAATAATGTTAGGCTGTCATGTTCTAAAGTGTTCAAACTATTAATCAGATGAGATGAGCCTCTAATAAAGGGTTCTGTGGTGAAGTCAGTTTCATGCTATATCCCAGTGGTCGGCAAACTCATTAGTCAACAGAGCCATATAAGAACAGTACAACGATGGAAATTTCTTTTGAGAGCCAAATTTTTAAAAAATATATATATATTTTATTGAGTTTTTACAGAGATGAAGAGAGAGGGACAGAGAGTTAGAAACATCGATGAAAGAGAAACATCGATCAGCTGCCTCCTGTACACACCCCCCTACTAGGGATGTGCCTGCATCCAAGGTATGTGCCCTTGACCTGAATTGAACCTGGGACCTTTCAGTCTGCAGGCCGACGGAGAGCCAAATTTTTTAAACTTAAACTTCTTCTAATGCCACTTCTTCAAAATAGACTCGCCATGGTATTTTGTGGAAGAGCCACACTCAAGGGTCCAAAGAGCCACATGTGGCTCACGAGACACTGTTATATCCCATTGGTGATTAACAGTATGTTTTTTTGGGGCTTCGCAGTGTGTTTCAGCATGTTAAAGACTTTGAGCCATTTGCCTTAAACAAAGTCAGGATGTCTTTTTATTATTGTTGTTGTTAATCCTCACCGGAGGATATTTTTCCATTGATTTCTGGATAAAGTAGAAGGGAAGAAGAGAGATGGAGAAATATCGATGTGAGAGAGATATCAATTGGTTGCCTCGTGAACACACCCTGACCAGAATTGAACACGAGACCAATAAGTCTGCAGGCTGACACTCTAATCTCTGAGCCAAACTGACTAGGGCTAGCCAGGATCCTATAAAAATACTTTTTTGCCACATAGTCCCCTTGTTTGTTTGAACCAAATCTGTTAATAATTTTCCCCAAAACTCTGGGTTAAAGGGTTATTGAAATACATTTTGGGAAATGCTGCTGTTATTATAGCAGTTAAAGTAATAGCTAACATGCATTGAGTATACTTATAGGCCCAGCACTCTGATTCTTTGTATGTATTATTTTATCTTCAACAAGAGTTTTATTATGTAAAACAAAGAATCTGAGCACAGAGAAGCTGGCTAACCTGCTCAAGTTGTATGGTTAGTAAGTACTGGAGCCAGGAATTGAACTCAGGCCGTCTGATTCCAGGACCTAGGCAGCTGACTACCCCATATTTCTCTGCTTCTCAATTCTCATGTCATTCTGATTGATTTTGATCTCTGACCTGTGAATATCTCTAAAAATTATTTTAACTGGCAGGTATTTTCATATCTTTACAAAGGGATCTTCCATCCCCTCATCTCAAAGTAGAGATAGTAAGAGAGAGAGAGAGAATATTTTATCCTTACTATAGTACACATAACTGTAGAATAAAGGACCAAGAGAAAAGACCAATTTCTATTCTACAAACTGACATGTGATCAAACACAGCTAGATCATTTGAGGGTGAGATCATGAAAAGAATTATTATTCAACCCCTTGCATCCATGACAAAAATGCCTTGTAACTTCTCAGTGTAGAGCAAAATTATAGAATGCCCCAGGCACCCTGATTCAGAAATAAAGGTGCCCCCACATTGTTCCCACCTAAAAAGTTGTCATTTTAGTGTGTGTGTGTGTGTGTGTGTGTGTGTGTAATGAGAGTTTATTGAGGGCCTGGTACTTGGTAATTATTTTGCATGCATTATTTAAATTAATCATCACAACTCTTTTTAAATTGATTTTTGAGAAAGGACAGATTTTTTTGTTTGTTTCACTTATTGATGCATTCATTGATTCTTGTATGTGCCCTAACCAGGGATAGAACCCACAGCCTTGGTATATGGGAACAATGCTGTCACCAACTGAGTTACCCAATAGAGCTTATCACAACTCTTTGAGATAAACACTCTTACACCCAGAGTATAGATAAGGGAATTAAGGCTCAGAGGAGCTAAGTCACTTTGTCAGTGTCACAATATTCTAGTAAGTGTCAGACCCTGGATTTAGCATAGACATAGGTACCATTATGTGTTTTTGAAATGTCATGCCAGGCCTCTAATCGCAGATGAGATCCTACTGCAGGTTTCCTGCTTTGTCTGTGGTTTCTTCATGCTGCTTTAAGACTGCTTCTGAGTTCCTTTTACACAATGACTGCTCATAAATTTAGAGGGGTGCTTGTCTTCTGAAAGGTACCCTTATCTGAGATAAGCCAGAGGGGGAAGAGAATGAAACAGAATGTTGGAGTGGGTGGAGGAGGAGTAGAGTGGGGCAGTAGGTAGTAGAGGAATAAAGACATGGAGAGCCTTAGCTAGTTTGGCTCAGTGGATAGAGCATCGGCCTGCGGACAGAAGGGTCCTTGAACTCAATTCTAGTCAAGGACACGTACCTCGGTTACAGGCTCACGCCCTGGTTGGTGCTTGTGCAGGAGGGAACCAATTGATGTGTATTTCTCTCTGACTTTTCCCTCTCTCTTCCACTCTCCCTAAAGATCAATGGAAAAAAATAGCCTTGGGTGAGGATTTAAAAAAAAAAAAAGACAAGGAGAAAAGATAGAGATAGAAGACATGTCCAATTATTACTATTCTTTCCCCCTAATAGTCATACTGATATTTTACTTTAACATGTGATATTTATCATTGTATACTACTTCAGATCTGATTTGGAGGTGGAGTATAAACAAATGAGTTTTATGGTGCTGGGCATATAAATGAGCCTTTCTGAGCCTCAACTTTTTCATTAATTTCTTACCTCAAAATAGTTGGATGGGTTAAATAATACAAGCATACAAAGTCCTTAGCATGGTGCCTTTGATTTAGTGGGTGGCCAGCGTTAGCTATTATTAGTGGATGGTTGGATTTTCATTTGGGGTCATTTTTTTTTTAAATATATATTTTATTGATTTTTTTTTTTTTTTTACGGAGAGGAAGGCAGAGAGAGAGAGAGTTAGAAACATCTATGAGAGAAACATCGATCAGCTGCCTCCTGCACAACCCCCACTGGGGATGTGCCCACAACCCAGGTACATGCCCTTGACCGGAATCAAACGTGGGACCTTTCAATCTACAGGCTGATGTTCTATCCACTGAGTCAAACTGGTTATGGCTGGGGTAATTTTCATTAGCATTATATTGGAGAGATGTAATCAGGATATTATTAAATATAATATTACAGTGTTGTATGCTACAGCTAATAAAAACAGTGGAGGGGATTAAAAAAAGGAGGAAATGGTTCAGAAATAATTAAAAGAGAAGAATTTATTCTGGTTTGGATGCAGTGGCTAAGGGTGAAGGAACAGTACAGGTGAATCCCAGTTCAGCCCCCATTGATCAATTCTGTCAGGATCTGGCATTGATCTTCACCTTTCAGAAGAGCTTAAGAAAACATTTTTGGACAATCTTTGAAAATCAGAGAAGCACACCCAAAGGGGAGAATCAGAATTTGAGCCCAGATCTGATCAGCTGTGAAATCTGACTCTTCCTGCCATATCTTGTTACCTCCCGTGGCGTAGAGGGCCCGGTGGAAAGCAATGTCTTTAAAGGAGAGATATCGAAGGAGCAGTTAGTCTGTAGGAGAAGACAAGTTGAATTTATTGGCTTATGAAATACTCAAAAAAAAAGAGCAGCATGTCTTTGCAGTTCGAGCTCCAAGCATAGGTCTGGACTAGAGATGTCCACGTGAAAGACATCAGCATAGAGGTGGTGGTTAGTCATTCGATTGCATTTGGTTACCTGGATGGTATGCATACAAAGAATAACAGGAGAAACCCAGGACAGAGAAACCTTGCTAATCCCTGCAGTGTAAGGAGCCAGAAAGGAGAGGAAATAGAACTCTCCAAGAGGTAGAAGATCTAGGGAGAGAGAATTATTTCTCAGATTGTCATCTTAGAGGCCAAGAAACATAGAGTTAGTTGAGCAAACTTCACCCAGGCAGGTAACCTAATGCGTCAAGGACAGACAGGTTGTAAGAAGTAAATTCAGAATTCGGAAGAGTAAGAAATGAATTGGAGAGTGCAGCTCCTGCTTAGCTGTAGCCATTTGCTGTCACATTGGAATTTAGGTTCCATGATGCAGAGCTTCCCCCTGCCTTCCCCCCCCCCCCAAAAGAAACCAATTTTTACCAAAACCTTTTTCTAGTTTTTATATGTTACTATGTAATGTAGATTTTTTTCTAAAAATAGTATTTGGCTCAAGCAAATTATATCTGTGGGTTATATTTGGTCTGCTAACCACTAGTTCCCAATCTCTGAATAGTGTTTGATGTTTTTCCAAAGGAAAGAACCATCAAAATAGGTCCAGTAAGATACTGTAAGCACATGGCAATGTCAAGATCATTGGCTGCACTGGTGGTTTTTATCCAGAGTGGGTGCCTGGAGTGGTGAGGTCAGTGCCACATTGAGGACTGAAGGGTAAATGGGAGATGAGTAAGTTAGCAAGGGTAATGAAAGATGTGTGGTTGAAGAGAGACTGTGATTGCCAAGTTGGGGACCCAGACAAGGGAAAGACACAGTTCCGTGCTTTGGTGCAAAGTTAACACCAACCAGCCCTATTTTTATATTTGTAGAATATATTTGTTTCACTCTGTGAATGATCTTAATTTTACAGCTGTTTTTTCACTTACAAAGAGAGCGGTCCTTTCCTGAGCACAGAGCGAGGTTCTATGCTGCTGAAATCGCCAGCGCGTTGGGTTACTTGCACTCCATCAAAATAGTGTACAGGTAAGTTTTTTTTTTAAATATTACTTGTAAAAAAAATATGTCTTCTTGTTTTATTTCAGCTAATATTCACGTTTGCTTTTCTTTCCTTTTACTTTGATAGAGACTTGAAACCGGAAAATATTCTTTTGGATTCTGTAGTAAGTACTGTCTTTTTAAAAATCTGCTATTCCTCCGTTTTGTTTTGTTTTTTTGTGGTTGTGTTTAGTGGAAAAAAGCCAGCCTCAAAGGTTCGACATTGCTTGATTTTATTTTATATAACATGTTTACAATGACAAAACTGTAGAGATGGAGATAAGATCCGTGGTTACAAGGGCACAGGGATCGAGGAAATAGTGGAATATAAACATAAAGGAATAGCACCAGTTTCTTTTGTTTCTTTGGGATTGATGGATGCTTGATTGTGGTGGTGGATACACGAATCTGTTACGTGGAACTACACATACTTACACGTACACAAATGCATGCATTACAAAATAGTGAAAACTGAATAGGTTTGGCTGTCTGGCTAACAATATGTCAATACCAGTTTCCCAGTTTTGATATTGTACTACAGTTATATGAGGTGCCAGCATGGGGGGGAGCTGGATGAGAGGTAATGGAACTCGGTGTATTATTTTTTCAGTTTGCCTGTGGGTCTATCATTATTTCAAAATAAAATGGATTTTTGAAATTATCAGTTTAAGTTCATGCATTGTTTTATCTTATTGCCCCTCTATTTCTCAGGGACATGTTGTCTTAACAGATTTTGGGCTTTGTAAAGAAGGAATTGCTATTTCTGATACCACAACAACATTTTGTGGAACACCAGAGGTAAGAAGTATGTCTCGTTTGTCATTCACATAATCATGTATAAAATGAAGAAATGAATCACAAATTGCATATCCAAAATTTGACATCAGAAAACTAGAATAAAACCTATCATTTTAGCTTCTGCCAATTGGAAATATCTAATAATCATTCCTTCTGAATAAGGTTTATTGATAGTTGGTATTTTTAACTGTGATAGTGGGGTACCACCACTAGATAACCCACCAAAGATGTAAATTAGGCTTATTTTTATTGTTAACCTTAGACTTCCCATTTATTTATTTATTTATTTATTTATTTATTTATTTATTTATTTTTTTTTTTTTTTGTTAATCCTCACCCGAGGATATTTTCCATTGATTTTTAGGGAGAGTGAGAGAGAGAGGGAAAGGCAGAGAGAAACATCCATGTGAGAGAAACATATTGATTGGTTGCCTCCTCCATGTGCCCCGACCAGGGCCCGGGCCTTGAAAGAGCCCACAACCAAGGTACATGCCCTCGACTGGAATCGAACCTGGAACCCTTTGGTCCACAGGCTGATGCTCAATCCACTGAGTCAAACCGGCTAGGGCTACCTTAGACTTCTTTAAGCATTTGACTTTAGTTCTAATGCTTCAAAATAAAATCAGTGATGAAAATATCCTAAATTTGTGATAATGTTTGCACAACTCTAAATATAAAACAACTCTAAAAACCACTGAACTGCACACTTTAAATGGGGGAATTGCATTCTTCTTAATACAGCGCTTCTAAAAATAAGCTGAAGAAATTATGGCAAGGGATTGGCATTGCCTATATTTAGGTGGCAGCTTTATTGGATTCTATTATATTTTACTACTGTTACATATGGTTAAAATATTTTATAGTAAAATTAAGTGTTTATTTAACAGAAGAAAATAAGACAGAGGATGTGGGGGGAAATTCACAAATCAGAATTTACTAACCCAAATATCTCATTCTCTAAACAGGTAATAGTCCTTATAATTTATGTTAAAGCCTTCTATATATATATATATATATATATATATATATATATATTGATTTTTTTACTGAGAGGAAGAGAGAGGGATAGAGAGTTAGAAACATCGATGAGAGAGAATCATCGATCAGCTGCCTCTTACACACCCCCTACCGGGGATGTGCCCACAACCAAGGTACATGCCCTTGACCGGAATTGAACCCGGGACCTCTCAGTCCACAGGCTGACGCTCTATCCACTGAGCCAAACCGGTTTCGGCTGTTAAAGCCTTCTTATTCTCTTTCTCTCTCTCTCTCTCTCTCTCTCTCTCTCTCTCTCTCTCTCTCTCTCTCTCTCTCTCACACACACACACACACACACACACACACACACACACACACATTCTTTAATGTATTTATAGTGATCTTAGATGCCAGGTAGTATTTCATCATTATTGCCCAATAACAACAGATATTGTTGAAAATGTGTGATATACTGGCTCACATGACACTTCTAATCAAGATCAGAAATGTAATTAAAAGTAGCTGTAAGCAACACTATTTACTTTAAAATGTATTTTTTTCTTCCTTTCTCTAATCTAACCTTGTTCTTGTAACCATTCTATTTTGGTTTATGTCTGAAGAAACATTTTTTTATGAATGTATATTGATGTCATAGTAAACAAAATCTTTTAAGTCCTGTAGGTTTTAGAAAGGAACAAGTTCTTTTGTCATCTAAGTCTAAATGTGGTCAAATTATTAAATCCTTTAATTTATTTTGCCATTTTTTTGAGCCTATAAAAAAACTTAAGAAATCATTTCCTTATTTCATATGGAAAAGGAAAAAATATTTTTTGGAACCTGAAATTCAAATTAACCATCTTACATTTGTGAAATGGTGATAGGTTTAAGTATTTTATATGTTAAAGTGTAAATAGCTGTGTAATAACTAAAACATTTGTAAATAATATGTTAGAGAATTACAGTTGTTATTTCCTAAGAAGAATGTAATTCATTCTTTTTCTTTCATGGAAAAAAAAAAAAGAATCATAAATGCCACATTAGGAATCCTTCTTTGGGAGGAACAATTATGAGTAATGACCAGAGGAATTTTTAAGATAAATTAACCTTATAAAAGGTTTCCTCCTCTTTCCCTTCTCCCACATACACAAGATTACAGTTTCTACATTTGCTGCCCTTTTCTGTTTGTCTTAACTGCATCACAGTTTATGGGGAAGTGTTTGAGTTATGTTTAGTTTGAAAAACGTCCCACTTTGTCTTGTTTTTTGAGTTGCACTAATACTTCATCTATTCTGTAGTACCTAGCACCTGAAGTGATCAGAAAGCAGCCCTATGACAATACTGTAGATTGGTGGTGCCTTGGTGCTGTACTGTATGAAATGCTGTATGGGCTGGTATGTATTGCTACTCTTACATTGTTTTCCCAGTATATTATAATTGATTTGCATTTTCTCTTTCTCTTTCTCTTTCAGTAATCTTGTGGACACTTAGATAACATTAACAGAGTAGTAATATGGTAAAAAAAAAAAAAAAAAAAAAAAAAAGAATCCAAAACCATGTATGCACAAAAAAGAAAAACTTCATTTTGTTAATAATTTTTTAATGTAATTTTTCTATCAGAGTAATTACTGCTTCAGGTATTCTCCTCCCTCTCTCATTTTGTTGAAATTGACACATAGACACATAGTTGAATATTAAAATTATCCACTTTTATTCAGTTTATCCTAGTCATCATTCTGCCTAATTTCAGAAAGATGGAAGTTAAAAAAGATGTTTGTATTTATTAGAAGATAATGCCTTTTGGGTTTTTCTTGCAAAAACCCAAATAGGGTTAAATAGGATTAAATTAATACACAGGTGCTCCACTTTTTCCATCTCATGCATTCACCATATATACCATGTCTTAATGAAATATGGTCGCAATCATACTTGGGTGGAAACTGCTGTTTGAGTTTTAACCCTGCTGTTCTGACTTAGACCTTCACTTACTTGCTTTGTTCATCGCTCTATTGGCGTAGGGAGGATGAATTCAAATTCTAAGCAAGGTTACAGGCAGAACTTCCTTTTTTTTTAATTAAAGAGCTAGCCTTATGTACACTTAATGGTTATCTCGATGCTGGCCTTGAAAATACTACAGTTCTATCCAATTAAAAAAAAGTGCACCTGGCATGGTATTGAGATTGTGGACATATCTGGTCTCTGGCCTACAATGTCAGACAGCTAAGTTTATCTTCGTCATTCTTCAATTGGGCTAAAGCAAACTAGAAAGCAACATTTTATCTAGGAAGAACAGCAGAAAATTCCAAATAACAGTTTGTTGCAAAATAGGGGTTTTCCTTCTCAAAACCTTTAAAAATAACTACCTGCCCCTAAAGCCGTGCAGTCGTGTTGAGTCCACCTGCGTGTGGTGCTCTTGCGGCTGTCCTGGCCAGATATTTCAATAAATCTTTGCCTGCTTTTTTTAATAAATCATCAGCCTCTGGTGGTCTTATTTTGAACTCAGGATTCGACCCGATAGCATTAAGATTTCTTTAAAAAAAGAAAAAAAAAAGAATGTTTACTATGTAATGTTTCCCCAGCTAGAGCTTCTGATTAATATGAGTACATTTGTTTTGCTACATTGAGTTAATACTCCAACCTAAAGCAAACAAGTTAGGCATTTGAGAGGGTTTACATATCCTGGGAGCAATAATGTATGCTTTTGTTTAGCCTTTTGGGAACAGTTGGAAACTTTCCTAGGTTCCCTTTGTGGTCCCAAGAGTGTCCCCCAGCCTTAGGCTGGGAACCATCCACTCATCCCCCCTGGTGCTGCCTCCACTAAGCTAAATAACACCATCATCTGAGACCTGAGCTGGGGCTTGTTATTTTTTTCTGCTTTTTGTTTTGCATTCTCCCTTCCTCTACCCCATTCCCCTATCCCCCCCCCCCCAAAAAAAAAAAAGATGGGGGAACTCTCAGTACATTTAGGAGCATTTATCTCATGTTGCTCACTTTGAACGATAGATTCTCATGATCTCCAACACTGTCTCTTCTTTGCCCTTGACTAAGATCCACTCGTTCAAAGATCTAGTTTTCTGGTTATACCAGTGACTTAGGACACCTCACATCCACTCTATACCTTTACGTGTTAGATAATTGCCATTCAGATATCCTTTTCATTTCTTTAGACAACGTTGAAAGCATAAAATATTATCGTTGTGTATAAAGTGCAGTTGATCCGAACGGGAACATTTGAAACACATACTTCATTAACTAACTTATACGAACGATATTAGAATCGAGCTAGATTTTTAAAAGTAAAAACGAAAGTGTTTCTTCCTGCAGAGTACACCCATCATGCCGCAGGACTTAGGGAGGAGCATGATCTTCAGGTCTTCGTCCTTTCGGGCAGTCTCTGTTTTAATTTATTTATTCCCAAGTCTCGAGAAATTCTTTCGATCTCTGTGTTGGATCTCTGTTTCCAATAATGCTACCATTATGCCATGATGAGGTTGGTGGTGGTTTTCTTTAAAACAGATACTGTTGTAACTTTATACAACTGGCACCTGTGTTTTTGAACAGACTGGCCCTAACTCATTCAGTGCACATGCATTAAGCTGTCTATGCACTGGGTTGTGGAGTCTCTTTGCATTAGAAGGCCACACTGCACTCAAACATGGCTGTGTATTTCTTTTGTCCAGTCCCAGTCTGCTCCTTACAGATCAAGGCCAAATCCAACTATTTTAACCCAAACATTTTGGCATCGTTCAGTTAACACTAACTTTATTTTACTTTTTTTTTTTTTTTTCTCCCCCAGCCTCCTTTTTATTGCCGAGATGTTGCTGAAATGTATGACAACATTCTGCACAAGCCCCTCAATCTGAGGCCAGGAGTGAGCCTCACAGCCTGGTCCATTCTGGAAGAACTCCTAGAAAAAGACAGGCAGAACCGGCTTGGTGCCAAAGAAGACTTTGTATGTATCTCTCTCTCTCCCACTGTATTTGAGCTTATTTATTATGTGAGGATAAAGCCTTCTTTTATGTGGTACTTAATGGGATGGATACAGCTCTTAAAGAAGAGCACCATGAGAACCCGTAACCAGTCCCAACAACTTTCACCCGTGTTTACACGTACAGAACCATACAAGGTTTGAGTACTTGCATCCTTTCCGTTGATCTCTGTAACGGTTCTATCCTCTCCCCTTTGTCTGTCACATCCAGCTATCACACTGTTATTATTTATTTGATTTTTATTTATTAAAATTTCTCTCCTTTCCCTACTTAAAAAAAATTTTTTTTTAAATATATTTTATTGATTTTTTTACAGAGAGGAAGAGAGAGAGATAGAGAGCCAGAAACGTCGATGAAAGAGAAACATCGACCAGCCGCCTCCTGGACCCCCCCTCCCCCCACACTGGGGATGTGCCCGAAATCAACATACATGCCCTTGACCGAAATCGAACCTGGGACCTTTCAGTCCGCAGACCGACACTCTACCACTGAGCCAAACCGGTTTTGGCTAAAAAAATTTTTAATTACCTGAACTTTTAGATCATGTTGTTTAACAACATGACTGCATGAGGCAATGCATTTTATCTTTACCAACATGAAACCACTTTTTTCCCCCTGAGACTTTGGTGATATCTCCTTGAGATAGTTATGGAACCTGTGGGTTTTGTGTGTTTTTTAAAAGAAGGATAATTACATTGCTAGTGTAAGTTGTTATCTCGTTGTGTTGGTATTCATGAACTATTAAGGGACAAGAACTTTTAAGTTCGTTTAAATTTCTGAGAAATTCTTTGGGGCTGTTGGCCAGCTTGAACTTGAGCTGTGAATAACAAACTTGTCTGCTACTGACTTTCTCCTCCTACATGTCCCAGTGCAGCGGATGGCTGTGTCAAAGTTCTCTCTCCAGTTTTGATTCCAGTCTGTTGTTTCAGTCAGTCTTGCTAATACTTCACACCTCCATGCCCCTGGGTCCTTTTCTTGAATTCAGAAATTGCAATTCTGGATGAATTCAACTGTCATCTCTGGGCTGCTGCTCATTGCTGAAGAAAGTTGCACAACTGGGCTAACCTTCCAGTGTGTGTGTGTCTACACTAACTAGAAATTTTTGGAAACCAGTAAAGGTGACACAGTTTTTAAGTAAGTGTACATATTGAGTATTTATAGCCACTTACGAAGCCTTTTTTGTCTTTTGGGGAGGAGACATGGAGGAGGAGATGTCTGTGATTCCAGCAGGAATTATTATACAACAAGATTTCAATGAGTGTTTAAAAAGAGCCAAATAGCCAAAACCGGTTTGGCTCAGAGCATAGAGCATCAGCCTGCGGACTGAAGGGTCCCAGGTTCGATTCCGGTCAAGGGTATGTTCCTTGATTGCGGGTCAATGATTCTCTCTCATCGATGTTTCTAACTCTCTAACCCACCCTCTCCCTCTCTGTAAAAAATCAATAAAATATATATATTAAAAAAAAATAACCAAAAAGGAGGAAGCATTTTGTGAGGTAAAACTTACCACACACATTAGAACTTAATACAGTGGAGGGAAGCTTGGTAAGTATGTCTACGTTAAGTGTTCTTCACTCTGAAGCATTTGCTACTGAAACCAGCATTAACACGAAAGACTTTCTGGTACTAATTTTTTTTTTTAATAAATATATCTCATTGATTTTTTACAGAGAGGAAGGGAGAGGGATAGAGAGCTAGAAACATCAATGAGAGTTTGAAACATCAACCAACTGCCTCTTGCGCACCCCCTACTGAGGATGTGCCCGCAACCAAGGTACATGCCCTTGACCGGAATCAAACCAGGGACCTTTCAGTCCGCCGACCGACACTCTATCCACTGAGCCAAACCGGTTTTGGCACCATTTATCCTTAAAACAGCCTGCTAAGTATCTAAGGCAAAAATGTTAACTCTGTTTTACCTATGAAGAAACTAGGATAGTGAAGAGAATAAAGTGTATACCCAGGTAGTCTTTCTGCTATACCACTTTGCCACATAAATAACATAAGCATGTATCTAAAAAGAGTTATTGAGGAACAAAACGGAAATGGTTTGGTTCCATAAAATTCTTCAGTGAGTTCTTAATATATTCTTCAGCATTAGTTTAAAATGTATTTTTTCTTTAATATTCTAGCTTGAAATTCAGAATCATCCCTTTTTTGAATCACTCAGTTGGACAGACCTTGTACAAAAGAAGATTCCACCACCGTTTAACCCTAATGTGGTAAGTATATATCCAGGTCCTTCCTTCTAAAATAGTGAAATGTAGAACTGTAGCTCATCATAATTTCAGCAAATATCTCAAAATCTTACCTGAGTGAAATTGAAATCAGTACATAAATATATGCGAATAAGATGATTGTTTGTTTTTTAAATTTTTTTAAATTGATTTTTTACAGAGAGGAAGAGAGAGGGATAGAGAGTTAGAAACATCGATGGGAGAGAATCATCGATCAGCTGCCTTCTGTACACTCCCTACTGGGGATGTGCCCGCAACCAACGTCCATGCCCTTGACCAAAATCGAACCCAGGACTTTCCAGTCCTCAGGCCGACGCTCTATCTACTGAACCAAACCAGTTTCGGCCAGATAGATATTCTCATTCACTATTCTTAGTATATCCTTTTATTTACCACTGACAACATTCCTATGAAATAGTACTGTTATTTTACACCATACTTCTGATGAGTGAACTTAGGCACAGAAAAGGGTAAGTAAGTTGCCCACAATTTAATTAAAGTTGCAGAACTAGAGTTTGAAGACAGAGCCCTCCCTCACTTTTAACATAAGAAATACAGTGTTGTCCCTGACAGTACTAGCCACAAGTCATAAGAGCATTCTCAAAATATTTATAAAGTCAGGGAAGAGAACGTTTATCATCATTTATTAAGCACTTTCTACATGTCAGATTCTGCAAATTTTATGTATTAATGCATCAAATCCTCACAACTTTAACAGACAGGTGGCAGGATTCTTATTTTACAGAAAAGGAGGCAAGTTTTCTTCTTATAGAAAAGACAGGGTAGTTTATATATCCTTAGCTCTGCTGCAAAGGTGGGAGAAGCTCCCAACATCACCACTGTGCTCACCAGCTATGAGCCTGGCTTCTGGCTGAGCAGCACTCCCCCTGTGGGAGCAGCACACTGACCATCAGCAGGCAGCTCCTTCATTGAGGGTCTGCCCCCTGGTGGTCAGTGTACATCATAGCAACCAGTCGTTCCACCGTTTGGTCGATTTGCATATTAGCCTTTTATTATATAGGATATTTTTTTTTTTATTGATTTCAGAGAGGAAGATAGAGATAGAAACATCAATGATGAGAATCATTGATTGGCTGCCTCCTGCATGCCCCCTACTGGGGATCGAGTTTGCAACCCAGGCATATGCCTTTGACCAGAATAAAAACCGGGACTCTTCAGGCCAAGGCTCTCTTTCCAGTGAGCCAAACCGGTGAGGGTATGAATTGAACATTTTAAAGCTTCCCTTTCTCTTAGCGCAGAGCTAACTAGAGCTTCAGGGATGGGCTTTAACGGTGAATCGCCTGATTTTGCAACCCAGTTTTATTCGTAAATACACTGGAAGGGGATAGGCCGTTTGCTTGTATCAAATTTGTAAAAGACGATTAAGAACTATTGCCTGTGAGCCTAAGCAGACACCTTAGGCTCTGTGTTTCATTTCAGTGTTTCATTCAGTGTTTCATTTCCTAGTTTCCTGGTCCCTTTAGGCCTTTTGAGCTAAGGGTCTCATCACTGAATGCTTAGTGACCTCTGTGGCACAAGAGTCACCTTTCACAATTTTTACGTACAGCCCCTTCATCCCTTCATTAAAAGGCTTCATCTGGCCGAGACCTGTTTGGCTCAGTGGATAGAGCGTCAGCTTAGGGACTGAAAGGTCCCGGGTTCAATTCCGGTCAAGGGCATGTACCTTGGTTGCGGGCATATCCCCAGTAGGGGGTGTGCAAGAGGCAGCTGATCGATGACTCTCTCTCATCGATGTTTCTAACTCTCTTTCTCTCTGTACAAAATCAATAAAAATATATTAAATAAATAAATAAATAAAAGGCTTCATCTGTCCGAAGTTGAGAAGCTGGATGGGCAGGCACTTGTTGGAAGCTCAAATGCAAAATGCTGTTCTGAAAACCTACCTGAACCCTTCTTCCAAACTTAGAGGTGATGAGCAGAGAGAACGGGGTGGGGGTGGGGGGTCATAAGCAGGGACTGAGATTCATATTAACACTGGTAAGGACTCTGTTACTCTGTTATGCTAGCTCTTCTTACCCTTCTCTCTCCTCGCCCCACCCAACAACAAGAACCTTGCCCATTAGAAGGACCTCTCGTAAGGAATAAATGCAGAAAATGTTCCAAAACAATGATGAAGTAAGGAGACATCTAAACTTGCCAGGAATCAGCCTAAACCGGTTTGGCTCAGTGGGAGAGCGACGGTCTGCCGACTGAGGGGTCCCGGGTTCAATTCCGGTCAAGGGCATGTACATTGGTTGTGGGCACATCCCTGGTGGGGAGTGTGCAAGAGGCAGCTGGTTGATGTTTCTCTCTCATCGATGTTTCTAGCTCTCTAGCTCTCTACCTTTCTCTCTGTAAAAAATCAATAAAATATATTTTTTAAAAAACCAAACTTGCCAGGAATCAATATACAAACCCCTTGAAGGGTTTAATGAAGAACTAAATTAATGAAAAAACAAAAGTGAATAATAGTGTTCTTTGGATGTTTTAGGCAGGACCAGATGATATTAGGAACTTCGATGCAGCGTTTACGGAAGAAACGGTTCCATATTCCGTGTGTGTGTCTACTGACTATTCTATAGTGAACGCCAGCGTACTGGAGGCTGACGATGCATTCGTTGGTTTCTCTTATGCACCTCCTTCAGAAGACTTATTTTTGTGAACATTTTGCCATCCGGGGACCGTGGAGCAAATAGAAGCCTATGTACAGATGAGACTGGAATTCCTCTTTGTGTGAATATATTCAAATATGTTTAGTGCCTCTTTTTTACAAATAATGTTAACAACTATGAAAAGATGTATTTTCTGCTGTATGTAAGAAAATAGTGCATTTCAAAAAGCTGCGTTTGGAATTAAAATTTGTATTCTTGTTTATTAAGCTTATTTTTAAACAAATTTTAAAAGCTGTTGTTCTTAGCATTAACCTATTTTTAAAGAAAACTTTTTTGCTAATGACTGTTTTTTCCTCCAAGTTTACACTAATACCTACCCAAGATAGACTGTTTTTCAACAACCTATTTCAGTTCAGTGAACATATATTAATGCCTTGGTAACTCTCTACTTTGATCTTTGTTCTCAGATAAGAACTATGCAATTTGTATGTGGTTGTTTAAGCAGAAACCATGTCTGTCCATAATATATTGCTGCTTGCCATAATCAGTCTTAGTAGGATAAAAGTGTAAAAGCATAGTTAACACATTGGCTGCTAATTAACACTTTGAATAACTGCTCATTCTGCAGGTCAAATTAAAAATTAACAAAAGGAGGCTCTTGCAGAGTAGTTCAGTTGGGTAGGGCATTGTCCTGATACACCAAGGTCATGGGTACATACAAGAATCAACCAATGAATGCATAAGTAAGTGGATCAACAAGTCTCTCTCTCTTTCTCTCAAGTCAATAAAAAGAAAGGTAACAAAAGGAAATCCTTTGCTTTTGAAATACCAATTTAAATTCATGAATTTTTTTCTTCTGGAATAAAAGTAAATATTTAATAATTGACATTTTAAATATTCCCAAACATCTGAAAAGTAATAAAGTACTGCTGGATTTATTTTTTTTAAGGTGGTGCCAAAATGAATGTATCTGTGTCATGTATTTATATTACAAATGCATTCTATTTATGTTCTTGTTGGTCTTTTGAACGTTTAATATACTGTTAAGTAGGCCTAAATCTTGGTATTTCGTTTTGCAAATAGCTTTTTAAAACTGTCTCCCTAATTGGTTGTTAAGTGAAAAATATTGAGCTTTTAGAATATATACCTAATTGGGAATTAAAAAGTAGAGTAGCAAATTCAGGATTAATATAAATGTGTACAGTTTTACTATTGTGTAACAGAAGTTAAAATAATTCAGAAAGATGCCTAGCATCTTATGTATCTTAGAAAATGTACGGGAAATTGGCCTTAAAGTCATACTGAAAACCAGCTAACTTGTAATTGTAAAAGAATGCTTATCTTTGGAATTCTGATGTTTAGTTTAGAGATTTTGTAAGTCATGTAGGAAACACTGTGAAAGAATTTAGTGACCCAGTTTAGATGCCTCAAGAACAAGTATTCTTTCCATGTATTTTCTCTTGAGAAAAAAAAAATTACAAAAGCATTTCACACCAATACCCTTTGGTTTAAAAATGTTCAGCAGAATGGGGGGAAAGAGCTATGCTTTTCTTAGATATGATAATATTTGCATTCAATACACTGAATCTTCCTTTAGAAGTAAAACTTTAGTAACAACACTGTAAATATTTGGTTTATTTGGTACTACTGTAAGTTCTTTTATACAAAGCTCTTTGCTTATAAAGCAAAATAAAGACTAGTTTCTTGTATGATTTTTTTTACTCAGCCACTCCTTAATTAAACTGCCAAAAATTCAAGTGCAATATTGTATATTTTTTAAAAATTTAAAATAGAATGTTGCTGTTTTTTTATCTCAAAAAATACAAATCTTACAGAGTGTAATAAAATTAGCAAAAAGATTAATGATCATCTAATGCTTGTCATTACTTTACATTAAAATTGGTGATAGTTACAGTATCATTACAAAATGAATTATATATATAAAATTTTGTCTGCTGATGTATATATATATATGAGAAGTAAAATTTTAACAAAATAGTTGAACATGTAAAAATTACTAGATTATTCCATATCGCAAGGTGATTATTCTTTTATTTGAAACCCTGAAGTGTACACAGGTGAGTTTCAGGTAACCTGAATACTTTAAAGTGATATGCGCTTTGCATAGTGTTTTCAAGACTCATCCCTGTTGTAGCACGTATTAGCACCTCATCCATCTATCTATATCTATCTATCTATCTATCTATCTATCTATCTATCTATCTATCTATCTATCTATCTATCTATCTATCTATCTATCATCTATCTATCTATCTAATGTGGCTTGGGATTGTTGGGTCATCTAGTAGCTCTGTTTAGTCTTTTAAGGTAGTCCCCGGAATGGTTTCCAAATGGACAGCCCCATTTTGCATCCCACCGGGAAAGTTTTATTTCATTTTTTTTTTTAAACAAACATGGGCACTGGTGGCCTGTGATAGCACAACCAACGGTTTCTATCCGCTTAGCTTTGCTTTGCGGGAAGGGAGCGGGAGTGATTGACGGGGCGGGACGCCGGTGGGCCCGGTTGCCCTGGTGACCGGGCGGCGCTGTCCCGGCAGCCCCCGCGCCGCCGCCAACGGACGGAAGCTGCGCGCGTGCGCGGTGGGGCCTCCCTGGGTGTCCGGCTCGGGGCGGCGCGCGGCCGCGGAGGTCTGTGTGCGCCCGGGCGGGTGTCCCGCGTTGCCGGGCTGGGCCCGCGCCGGCCGGAGGTGGGCGCTGTGCGTGGGGGGGGGGGGGGGGGGGAGGTCTGGACCCCAGGGTGCCAGGCCGGGTTCGCTTTGGGGGGCTTTGGGTGTGAGGTGTTTTCCTTCTGACGTGCCGGGCAGCGAAGACCCGCTGGTCCCAGGGAACCGGCGCTTGCGTTCTTTACACTGTGAGGCGGCGGCTGGCATTTGACCCGCGTTCGCTTAATGCTTCCCGCGGGCTTAGAAGCCTTTTTCTCCACTTTCCCCGCCTGCACCCAGGCCCGCTGCTTGACACGCTGTTTTAAGCTACTGAATCCACAGCTGCTGGATCCACAACTGCTGGATCCGGCCCTGATACTGATTGCCTGCGTGCCTGTCCCAGGAGCCGGCACATCCCATCTCCAAGGAACTGGAACAGTGGTCGGCAAACTCATTAGTCAGCAGAGCCAAATAGCAACAGTACAACGACGGAAATTTCTTCTTTTTAAAAAAAAAAAATATTTTTTAATTGATTTTTTAGAGAGGAAGAGAGGGATAAGAGAGTTAGAAACATCAATGAGAGAGAATCGCCGATCAGCTGCCACTTGCACACCCCCTACTGGGGATGTGCCCGCAACCCAGGTACATGCCCTTGACAGGAATCGAACCTGGGACCCTTCAGTCTGCACGCTCTACCACTGAGCCAAACCGGTTTCGGCCGTAATTTCTTTTTGAGAGCCAAATTTTTTAAACTTAAACTTCTTCTAACACCACTTCTTCTAAGTAGACTCCCCCAGGACCGCGGTATTTTGCGGAAGAGCCACATTCTGGGGGCCAAAGAGCCGCATGTGGCTCTTGAGCCGCAGTTTGCAGACCATTGAACTGGAACATTTTCCTACTCTTCTCTGAGATTCAGTATTTGTGTTAGAGCAGCAGGAGCATCCACCCGCACCCGTGTTGAAAATTCACACGGAGGCTGGTCACCGGTCCAACATGAAACTGTGAAAGTCTAGAATCCATCGCCTCCGTGCCATCTCATTTCTGATGCCATAGATTGGACCATCTATCTGTCAGGACTGTTTCAATAGCTAGAAACTCGTTGTCACTCTTCCTCTATTCCAACCCATTCCCACATGGACAGCAGGCACTGGTTCCCAAAATAATTTGACTATATTACTTGGTAAAAAATGTCCCTGGCTTTTCTTTGCCTGTGTAATGATCATGGGCTTTAAAAGCTTTCATAATGAACAAATCATTTCATTATCACCTAGAGGCCTGGTGCATGAAATTTGTGCACTGGAGGGAGGGAGGGGTTCCCTCAGTGTGAGAGGGCAAGGGTAGGGCGAGGGACCCCACTGGTGCATGTGGGAGGTTGGCCAGCAGGGGAGGGACCAGGGGAGGACTCCAGGGGGTGTCCAGCCCATCTTGTTCAGTCCCCATCAGTCGGACCCCAGTAGCAAGCTAACCTACCAGTCAGAACATCTGCCCCCTGGTGCAGATAGCAAGCGATTGAGTGGCCTTAGCATATCATTAGCATATTGTGCTTTGATTGGTTGAATGGATGACCAGACACTTAGCACATTAGGCTTTTATGATATAGGACAAAATTTGTGTAAGGAGCTTGGACCTGGTTGCCCCGGCCCTAGCAGCCCTGACTTTATCCAGAAGGTCATCTGTTCCGCAGTTTGGCTGTTTGGTCAATTTGCATATTATGCTTTTATTATTATAGAATTATTATAGATATAGCCTCCCTTCTTTCAGCCCCAGAAATCGTATGTCCTAATGAAGCACACATGTATTGCCCTAAACACAGCATACACTTTAAGATGTAGGAACTTATGGCCACAGAGAAATGGACTCTGAAGTTTCCCCCATGTAATAGTGGAAGAGACAGTCTCAGTTACTTTTCTTTGAAAAGTGGCCTAAACTCCAAAAAGTAGGTCTAAGAACATTTTACTCATTTGTGTCCCTAGTGCCTAGGACAATTTGGTATCCAATAAATAGCAAATACCCAGTAAATATTTAGTAATAACTAAATGTGATGATCATTATTTTTGACTTCTCTAAATTGACAATTCTTTGAACACAGGATCCATTCTTAATCACTTTACCCCTACCACCTAACATAAGTATTGGCAGATATTGTTTCCAATTATGTTTGCTGTTCTTTAAATGAATTTTACATATTCCACTCTTGTTACTATGGTTTAATGGTTTATGTTGATCTGTATTGAAGATTTAAAGACAAAAGAGGTTTTATCATCTGAAAGAATTCTTTCATTTGATTTTCCCCCTAGCAACTAGGAAATGCTGGGTCTAGTACCAAGTTCTCAGATTTGTAGGTTAACTACACTTTGTAACTTACATTGAATTTATGAAATAACTTT